TCAATTTAACAAATGGTAAACACCACAGCGTACACTATTGAGTTATGGATGCACGCGGGAGGTTGCTAAGCACGAAAGAAGCGTAAGAGTCGCTCGAGGCGATAGCCGAGAGCGACTCTAGCTTCTTGAGTGCTTAGCAAACCTCCCAAGTGCATCCATAACTCAATAGTGTACGCTGTGGTGTTTACCATTTGTTTTATAACATAACATTGATACATTGTAGCTAAAGAGTTCCCGTTTATTTAACAAATCTTACGCGACCAGAAAAAACAAGCGCGCGCGGAAAAATAGTCTTTGCATTTGCTCACGTCAGCAGCGTACACCCATGGGCAAATGGGGAACGCTAAATTGACCAATCAGAGCGCGCGCTTTACTTTGGTTATGTTACAAATTCTGTTATCATTTGGCCTGTTATTCAGTGGACAAAAAGCAAACACGTTACGTTAATGCACACATGTCTCAGTCACGGTCCTGTTTTTTTTTTTCTTTGCCTTTTTTCTAAAATCTTCATTTCCTTCATCACAGGGATCTTACAGTAGCTCATTGTAGGTCATTGTAGGTCATTGTAGCTCATTGTAGGTCATTGTAGCTCATTGTAGGTCATTGTAGGTCATTCCGTGTTTTAGTAACTACGCTTTTAGCGCACGGTGATGGCATTGCAAGTAACGCAGGGGAAAGAAGCGTTCACTCACTGACCATAAAATCATCATGGAAAAATTGACCTGATAAAAAAAAAATTAATGAGAGTTCAAAGACACTGTTTTGCAGTCAATCGAATATCCGCATCAACTAAGGAAATGCTCGGCAGTTATCTTTAAAGGTGTATTCTGCGATGAGAAACTCCTAATAATCATTTGTTTTAAAATCACAGTTAAAGATTTAGGGAGTTTACACCTTTTCCCTATTTCTTGTTCCTCAAGCCCATTGAATTTCATCAGCTCCTGCAGTGTACTTAAAGCCAAATTTTTGGAAATTTTACACCTTTGGATCAGTATTCCAGTGCAATTTCGTTTCAATATCGTATCAAACTAGAATGAAATCTGGGGGAAGTAACTACGTACAGTGCATAGTTTGTGCACAGCTAGATACAATAGATCCTTTCAGCCTCAAAGATATAATAATTGTAGAAATCATTTAGTGATTAAACTATTTTCCTCTATTTTGCTTAGTTTTGACCGATTATCTGGAAGCACAGAGGGCTCGCATCAACGATTTGAGGGTCGCGAAGTGGACAACAGAAGGCGCAGACATCGCATATCATCTGAATCTTACAGAATCTTCAAAAAGACGGCCTGATCTGGAGGAGGGAGATGTGATTGCCTTTTTGACCAACCCCAACGCAGGAAACACGGAAATAGAGAAACTATCACAAGAGAATTCATCGCGAGCCGTTTTGGCAGGTGTCATCAGTCGATCAGCTTACATATATGCGCATGCACCTCGTTACGGCAGCGAGAAAGGTAGGTTGTGCAATATTTCAAAATAACGGCAAATTACTGAGCATGCTCAGCTTGTTGGTCAGGAAACGAATTTGAGGTTTTCGTGTAACCCGCCCAGTTTTCAAATTATAAGCTTTACCAGTAAGATTACTATTTTTTTTATACCGCGCGATAGACTTCGCTGAAATGGAGGAACTGCTCGTAGTCTACTTATCAATAGACATCTTACTTGATCAAGCTCATCTGAAGTGTGTCTCATCCATGATAAGACGGCTTACAAAACGTTTGTTTTCTTCTTTTTTCTTATTTCTTAATTGAACTTTGGACTGAAAAGCAGAAAACACTGCATCACTCGCAGACCCGTCCCCATAAAGCTGAAAGGCCTCATATAGCAAGTAACTAGTTCTTGTAACTTCCTGAAGCCCACCATTTCATAGTCGGACGAACAAGAGGTTCAGGGGCTCGTTTCTCGAAAGTCCCGGTAACTTTACGGGCCCTTAACTACGGTTTTAAAATCAAAATTTAAAGGATAGGAAAGCAGGTTCTGGCACCCAAACCAGCCCTTTTTGTTTCTTTAGCTGATAGTTTTATTACATCATTTCAAAACTTTTGAAATCCCCATCTTGAATGAAAACAGAACAGCTTTACGGGCCCGTTAAGTTACCGGGACTTTCGAGAAATGGACCCCAGGGCAGGTAATAGGGGTAAAACATTCTTTCTGAAACACCAGGCAGGAAACTTATAAGTTTCCAGTTCATGAGGAGTTATAAACATCTCGAGAGATTTGAGATCGTGAGACTACTCTGGATTGTTCCACCTTTTAGGTAGCACTGAGACTGTTTGTGTTATCGGCTTGGTCAAAGTTAAAGTCCTTGGGACCGTTCAGAATGGGGAGCGTATATATGTTGCACTGCATCAACCGGGTGTTGCCATTCCAGAGACGCAGATTCCGTTACGACCTATGGCCGACCGCCGCCCGGTTTTGCTGGGTCAGGCGCTTGAGAGCAAACCGAGTAACTCTCAAGACAATGTTTAATTGGTCCAGTGCTTTGTTTCTATAGTGCTCGGTATTCAATCTGGTCAGATTAACGCTGCCATAGAAGACCTTCAGGAGAAGATGCAGCGCAAGTTTGAAGATGTCGTGGTCAAAGACAGATCAAAGTGGCTCAGAGGTGATGTTTTGTCTTTTTCAGAGTATTTCTAGAGCAAGGAACTGCATCGCCGGCTTCATTTGCTTCAAATGGTTAGTTTTATCAAGCTTAGGGTTCCGGAGCTGCCCTTTTCTACCTTCAAGTTTAAAATCGGTGCCTGCTGGGTAGAGGCACCCTGCTCCCTGATAATTCGCGGGGAGAATTTGTTCGCAGCAGACAATCTAAACTACGAACTGAGGACTGGAGGTTCTAACCTGCATCGTTGACGTCACCTTAGCCTGTTACGGACTGAGAATCACGACTGCGAGTACGCTTGTAACAGCGCCAGTTACAAGGATCCGATGAGACATTCTTTCATTCGCAGTATCGTGATAAATGTCTGACTCACAAAACACCGGAGCACCAAGCAAATGAGGCCAAAAATTACAATGACGAGGGCAGGATGATAAGAATAGCGTTAAGTTATTAGTTATTATTTACTTATTCATTTATTTCTTTATTTTGTGTTTCTAAACAGGCACTTTACTATTTCTTTTTCGTAACTAGGTCTGAGATGGAAAATTTTCATTCTCCTTATCATTTTCGGACTGCTTTCTGGTTTATTGTACGAGTTAATTGCCCCAGGAACTTGGTTCCAGTATCAGATGTGTAAACGTGGGTGCATTAAGGGTCACACAGCTACCTTTAAATTTACAACACATGATTATCAAGTAAGTGTCTGAGCTAAGAATTATTTCCCTCGAATCGCAAGTCACATATAACGTGTCAAAGTCTTCTCAATTCAACTATTTCGTTGTTTCGAATATCCTAATTATCTTTTGGTTCACCAAAAGAAAGTGATGGGACAAAAAGGGAGAATCAGGACGTAGGATATTTCTACCAAAGTAAATTGACAATATGATTATGAGCTAGAGATGTTTTTCGCGTGATACTTGATTTGGGTGAAGCTTACATCAAGTATCAAGCATAGAAATCGATCACAGGAATAAGCTGAATGTTTCCTCGTAATCTACTCGTTATTAAGACCCAACCACTGTTAGGCTACTCATATAACTCACTACGTAGCCAACCAGATTCCAGCAACTGTGATAGAACGCTGTGCACTAAGAATAATTACCAAATATCCATTTTATCTCTTACTTCAGTATATCAAAGTGAACGGGCTGGAATTAACGTGGGAGAAATTGAAGAAGAAAAAAGAGCTGGATCTTGGAGATTGCCAACCGTTTAACGCTACAGCTGGTGAGAACTAGTGTATCATTTGTTCTTTAATCCCCTTAATTCTAGTACAGTCGAACCTCGATTAACGGCCGGACCTCGATTATCCGGACTTTTTTCTCTGGTCCCAATTTTTTTCATGAATATTAATTAGTTGTGATCTTGAAAACTCAGAGTTGCAGAAAGCCCAATAATCCTTTCAAAAGACAGTTGAAACAGCGTATTATCCTGTGCGCTTTTCAAAATTCGTAAGTGCGACGAGACAAAGAAATATTCTGTTGCGTTATTTGCAAATACATACGGGCTGTGCAGATATCACAATTAAAATGATGTTTTCTTTGCTGTATACCTTTTGTTTACATTTCTATCTCATTAATATTCATATTTTCGATTATCCGGACTCTCGATTATCCGGACTATTTGCCGAGGTCCCGACGAGTCCGGATAATCCAGGTTCGACTGTACTCAGTTTTTCAGCTTATTTATCCATAATTAAGTGTATCTTTGCATGCACTTGATTGGTCCGCCTCGACTAGATCTGCAAACTGCGGATCAACGCATTCTCAAATTTTGTCATGATATTAATAAAGTTAGTCAAGATATTGCCCTTCTCTAGGTGCAAATAATCAGCTCCAACACTTATCAGAGGAAAGGTTAAATTTACTATATGAATCTCCTCCCGTTTCTTGTCCTTAGGATTACACCGACCCATTTCCCTTGAATCTTTGTTAATTAAGCTTTATGTTTATCGTTTGAAACACAGTGGAGTGGGACCGGTCATTAATTATCGACGGGGATGAGGGGAAGGGGGGTCGGAGATCCCCCATAAGGCTTTGTAATATTTTTACGACCCCCTCCTCATTGGCGCTTTCTATAGTCCCCCCTTTATACTCTTTTGGCGAAGACTGATCTCCCTTCCTTCCCCCTGAAAACCACTTGACCTTCCCCAAAGTCCCACCCCCCTTAGCCGCAAAGGCAGTCGGTATATGCGCCTTTCTGTGATGCAATGTTTATTAATTTTGACTGGAGTTTTGATTTCAGACAAACAAGGTTTCTTCTTCACTTGTCATTTCTTATTTTCCTTTCCCCTAAGGCTATCGTTATTACCTTAACTTGGATCGCTGTGCATATGGCGAGCGGATCGTGTTGGACCACAAGCCACAGATACGCGGACCAACGGTTTTTGCCATCAACTCCACTTGCTCTGGTGTTTATTACGTGAACAAAGACAAATGGCAAGGGTACACTTCGGCAGAACACATCGAGCGTGAGCCACCTTGCACCTAAACCGTGCTAAACTCCCTTCTTTCATGGTCATTTTGGCAATGAATTGACACCTGATTTCAAGTTTAACGTAAACCGTGGTACTCAGACAATCGATTGACTCTAAGTACAATCAGTTTGTTATTATACCCAACTGCATTTACGTTTTCATTCATAGATTTCTTTAATCGAAAGTTGCTTCGATAAGAAAGCCGTGCATTTTGGTAAGAAGCAGTAAGTTCAAAAGGTAGTTATTTAAAGATGAAAAGATATAATAATTATTCCCCAATAACATAGATAGTAGGGATACAATGAAAACGTGTTTCTATTGCCACTTTATTTATAAATTTTTAAGCTTCAACAACAGCAGAATCAGTGCAGGAGAATAATGAGCGCTAGCCTCGATTAAGCGCCCTCCCTCCAAAATGCACCCATTCATTCCCCCCACCCCACCCCTCTTTTAACCGAAATTTTGACATAAGCGTCCGGGCGCTTATTCAAGGAATACGGTTATACCTAAAGCGATTTGGAAAGAAAGTACGTTCAAAGGTTAGTTGTCTAAAGCTGTGTTGACAATATGATTGTTCAAACAATTGATGCGTATTTAGCTGGGCAATAAAAATATATATTTATAATTAAAGCGTTAAAGGACCCTTCTGAGCATGCCATCAGGAGCTTTGCGCCTGAAAAAAWTTTTTATGCAAATAAGCTGGCTGCACACTCAATGTGCAGCCAGTCATTTGCATAAGTAATTCAAACCAAGGTTTGACACCCCTCAGTAGCATGAGGTGTTCGCTGAACACTCCAGGACATTCGATAATCGCCACAAAAATGTAATTAAAGCTCTCCTCGACTAAAATGAAAAAAACCGCAGCTTCCGATAATTACATTTTAAATAATTTTCCAGACACAACACTAATTTAGTTACATATTGTCCAGAGAAAATAGTCAAGGGAAATTTCGTAAGAAACCTTTGCGGACCTTATTCGAAATAGCCCGAAGAGCGGTTCACTAAGCTTATTCTCTTTGTAGAAACAATGTCTTAAGCGAAACAAAGAGTAATTCGTTAACACAGTGTCCAGAAATAATCCAGGCCAAATGTCACTGCAAAATATAACAGGGACAATCACTTCCATGATCAACGGCCTATTTAAGGCTAACTCCGAAAACTCCTTCTTAGCACAAAGCTTATTTTGAACTTTAAAGGTCCATAAACTGCATTGATTAGATAAGCCAAAAAATACACATCGCTTTGAACGGACGATTTCCGTTCCGTCTACACGCTCTACTCTTATTGTGACCTTTTAACTGCGACGATTTTAAAACGGCAGTACCATTATTTATACCGGAACACAATCTTACATTTCGTAAAAAAATACATCTACAGCCGGATTTGCGCTCACAAACCGCGCGATAAAGCGTCCAGGAAGCGGGAAGAAAAATATGCAAAGCGGAAATATTTCATGCGTGACATAACTATTTTGAAATAGGGTTATGTCACGCATAAATACGTTCAGGTTAAGACTATTTTCCTTCGACATTGATAACCTGTACCTCAACCCATTTATGATCCCTAATCCATACACCACGTCGTTTGCCTTTTCCTCCGTCTACTATGAAAGAAAAAAGTAACTCAGCAGTGTACACAATCCAAGAGGGTATAGAAAAGATTACAAGTAACCCTCCGGAAAACACTACCCAGGAGGGTAAAGAAAATATTTTAAAAGTAACTCTCAGGTATACACTACCCAAGAGGGTAGAGAAGAGATTAAAAGTAACCCTCAGATATACACTACCCAAGGGGGTAGAAAAGAGATTATAAGTAATGCTCAGGTATACACTACCCAGGAGGGTAAAGAAGAGATTAAAAGTAACCCTTTGGTGTACACTCCTCAAGAGGGTAAAGAAAAGCTTAAAAGTAACCCTCAGCTATACACTACCCAAGAGGGTAGAGAAGAGATTAAAAGTAATCCTCAGGTATACACTACCCAGGAGGTTAAAGAAGAGATTAAAAGTAACCCTCAGGTATACACTACCCAAGAGGGTAGAGAAAAGATTAAAAGTAACCCTCAGGTGTAGAGTACCTAAGAGGGTAGAGAAAAGATTAAAAGTAACCCTCAGGTATATACTCCCCAAGAGGATAGAGAAGAGATTAAAAGTAACCCTCAGGTATACACTACCCAAGAGGGTAAAGAAGAGAATAAAAGTAACCCTCAGGTATACACTACCCAAGAGGGTAGAGAAAAGATTAAAAGTAACCCATCTAAGGTATACACTACCCAGGAGAGTAAAGAAAAGATTAAAAGTAACCCTCAGGTATACACTACCCAAGAGGGTAGAGAAAAGATTAAAAGTAACCCTCAGGTTANACACAGTGTCCAGAAATAATCCAGGCCAAATGTCACTGCAAAATATAACAGGGACAATCACTTCCATGATCAACGGCCTATTTAAGGCTAACTCCGAAAATTCCTTCTTTGCACAGTGCTTATTTTGAACTTTAAAGGTCCATAAACTGCATTGATTAGATAAGCCAAAAAATACACATCGCTTCGAACGGACGATTTCCGTTCCGTCTACACGCTCTACTCTTATTGTGACCTTCTAACTGCGACGATTTTAAAACGGCAGTACTATTATTTATACCGGAACACAATCTTACATTACGTAAAAAAATACATCTACGGCCGGATTTGCGCTCACAAACCGCGCGATAAAGCGTCCAGGAAGCGGGAAGAAAAATATGCAAAGTGAGATATATTTCATGCGTGACATAACTATTTTGAAATAGGGTTATGTCATGCATAAACACGTTCAGGTTAAGACTATTTTCCTTCGACATTGATAAGCTGTACCTCAACCCATTTATGATCCCTAATCCATGCACCACGTCGTTTGCCTTTTCCTCCGTCTACTATGAAAGAAAAAAGTAACTCAGCAGTGTACACAATCCAAGAGGGTATACAAAAGATTACAAGTAACCCTCCGGAAAACACTACCCAGGAGGGTAAAGAAAAATATTTTAAAAGTAACTCTCAGGTATACACTACCCAAGAGGGTAGAGAAGAGATTAAAAGTAACCCTCAGATGTACACTACCCAAGGGGGTAGAAAAGAGATTATAAGTAACCCTCAGGTATACACTACCCAGGAGGGTAAAGAAGAGATTAAAAGTAACCCTCAGGTGTACACTCCTCAAGAGGGTAAAGAAAAGCTTAAAAGTAACCCTCAGCTATACACCACCCAAGAGGGTAGAGAACAGAATAAAAGTAATCCTCAGGTATACACTACCCAGGAGGTTAAAGAAGAGATTAAAAGTAACCCTCAGGTATACACTACCCAAGAAGGTAGAGAAAAGATTAAAAGTAACCCTCAGGTGTAGAGTAGCTAAGAGGGTAAAGAAAAGATTAAAAGTAACCCTCAGGTATATACTCCCCAAGAGGGTAAAGAAAAGATTAAAAGTAACCCTCAGGTATATACTCCCCAAGAGGGTAGAGAAGAGATTAAAAGTAACCCTCAGGTATACACTACCCATGCGGGTAAAGAAGAGATTAAAAGTAACCCTCAGTTATACCCTATCCAAGAGGGTAGAGAAGAGATTAAAAGTAATCTTCCGGTATACACTACCCAAGAGGGTATAGGAAAGATTAAAAGTAACCCACTGGTATACACTACCCAGGAGGGTATAGAAAAGATTAAAAGTAACCCTTAGGTATACACTACCCAGGAGGGTAAAAAAAAAGATTAAAAGTAACCCTGAGGTATACACTACCCAAGAGGATAGAGAAGAGATTAAAAGTAACCCTCAGGTATACACTACCCAAGAGGGTAAAGAAGAGAATAAAAGTAACCCTCAGGTATACACTACCCAAGAGGGTAGAGAAAAGATTAAAAGTAACCCATCTAAGGTATACACTACCCAGGAGAGTAAAGAAAAGATTAAAAGTAACCCTCAGGTATACACTACCCAAGAGGGTAATGTCGGAACGCTGAACGGTGTTTTGGAAAAGGTGCGGCCAGGAGTGACACACCCTGCCTCGCTCCAATCTCTTCTCCACCTGAGCCCTCTCTTAAAGTCGGGAGAAACCAGACTATCAGGAGTACAGCTTAGTGTAAGTAGAAAAATGTAAGCAGCATAAATATCGATTGCATCATAAGAGTACTGTTAAGTACCATAATGTAAGTACTGTAACGCAAGGTACGAAGAGAATTCCGTGTATGCATCCTTAATGCAGTCAAGGATACGGTACACCTTCGCAAAAAAAAATTTAACACGCCATTTGAAGCAGAAATTATTTCGTATTAGCTTGATCAAATGGTAAAAACTGAATGGAGCGGAACAATCCGAAATGGACAATGTTTCTTTGAGCGTATTAATCGCATATCAAATCACACCACACAAATAAAACTTCTGCACAATTTCAATCTTGAGGGGCTGGTTTTAAAAACCGTGTGGGAATATTTGGATATTCTCGTTGGTTGCATTGTTATTTATCTGTCAACTGAGTTTGCTGGTAAAGATTTTAACGACACGCATTACGTCGATGGCTATTGTGGGAGATCATTTTGAAAAACGGATTTCCCCCACACAGATATTGTTTGATCAAACCAAATTCACAGGGATTTAAACAAAGAGATATATTGAAGACAGTAAAAGAATTGATGGTAAAATCCTGGGAGTGAAAAGATTAAGGTGGATAACATTCATAAACCGATTTGGCAGATACGCGTCATTAAGCCGGCGGTCCGTTGGGGCGCCCTGATTTCAGTGTGTATTGCTATCCGCCTTTGAACAACCAAAGTCTACCCTGGAGTTCGCAAATGTGGGCATCTGATAATCATGAAAACTGTTTTGTTATTCAACAAAGATTCTATGAATGCCAAAAGATCTGGTAAAACAAAGTGTTAAGTGAAAATCAAATAGCAATTAATATTTTCAACTATCTAACGAACAAGTAACATACATACATACATGTTATTCGAAGACAACGGTTGTCTAGTCTTAAAACAAGATAATGAATAACCATTTTGTGAATAACTCTTTACATTATCATGGTTAAATTTCTCCTAAAAGATTTACAATAGATTTCTGAAGACCAGCCTTTCCCTATAGCAGCAAGAAGGAATTTTAATTAAGCCAGTGATTGTGTAATCATGATCCGGTCAGCCAGCTTAGCAAATGAGTATAGGTAATCGCATGGGACCGAGTAAAATTAAGGATTAATATCACTTGTGTTTTCGGAAGTTGCTGAAATTGCCCGAGTCGCGCAGCGGCGAGGGCAATTTCTGCAACTTCCGAAAACACAAGTGATATTAATCCTTAATTTTACGAGGAACCATATGATCACTTGTTTATAATATAAGGGGCAAAATGTTTTCTTACTGATCTCGCGCAAAACGGGACGCCATTGTTACAAAACAAACAGAATTTTCTTTACCTTGGCAGCCGTTGCTAAGCGATTTTCAGCCAATCATTTTCAAGTAATTTTGCCCCTTATAATTACAAAAATTAAGAAAAAATGCCCTCTGTCTTGACCAATCACAATTCAGTAATTTTGCCCCTTATATGATAACAATCAGGAAATCTTAACTCTAATTGTAATTTTTGCAGCCCTTTTCCAGCTAGACGGCCCTATCTACGAACCCAATCAGCTGTACTCAAAGTACGAATTGAATGCCTACAAACAACGGATAATACTAAGAGCGCAATTTTCAATCGAGTGTCGAAAGTTAACCGTTGTCACACTGTTTTTGTTTAACTTCGCCCTGTGAATGATCAAGAAAAACTCGCGCCACCCTTTCAGCCAATCACATGAACTTGCTACGAAGGCCATTCGCTACCAGGTCACTCGCGTTTTCCTACGCCAATTTGCATGTTTTCACTTAAAGTTCTCATTGGTTCTTCGTAATATTTTCCTTCTTTCTGATTGGCTTTTGTTATTAATTTAGTTTTGGTTTTTGAGACGTTCAATCAAAAAATGTACGGAGCAATGCGATGAAGGGGCTTCCTCTCCCTCAGGCTGTCCTTAAAATTTTTTTTTTTTTTTCTGGTTTTGTAAATCATTCTCGTTGAGAGAAGTTCGTTTTTAAGATGCAAAGATGTTTTTAAAGAGGTTTCTATGACGTAGGTTATTATAACGCATGGCACCGAGGATAAAAAATCTTCACAGGTAATGAACAAATGGAAAATTATGGAGAAAATTCTAGTTCAATTTTTCTTAATCTAATATTAATTTGATAATGATGGCAATCATTATAATGAGAAAAATACTAACCACAGTAACAGTAAAACAATTCTAACTAAATTAACATCAAAACGACTATCAAAGACCATCGAACGGTCAAACAAATTCAATACATAACTGATTGACCAAGCCTCTTGGTCAAATAGTCAAAGTCTGTACATTTTGAATAAACCTTTTCAACTAGTTTACATGGACCAGCCATGTGGTGCGTACTCCGCAATCCTCTCATCTTCGGCAAATGCCATCCAGCACTTAAATTATTGAACTGTCTATGTTGAGCTGTTCTTTCATCTGCTTAAATATATTCGTTTTTCTAACAAAGCCTCGTTTTCCAGACCTTCACGTCTACAGCGGAATTCAGCGACCATCAAAGTGAATTTAACTTCCATTGACGCTAAAATTCCCATCAAAAAGGAAATTCTCCACGGGATAATGCACACCTGGAGATTCCTGCTAGTCGTTTTCCTTCAGCTCTGGTTTCGTAGGATGTGTATTACACACGATATCCCTGCCGGATTCGTATGGGGTCCATACCTCCGAATGAAAATATACAGTGGTGCAGTTGTGATCAACTGCTACTACTTCTGCACCCCGCACCATTTCTTTGTTGTCTAAATGCGACCGAACATGTCGGATTCCGCCATAAGCACATCTGTCCAGATTCAGATAATAATGTGCGTCTGTAAGAGAAAGAAAACGAGCTCATTAACAGGGGTAAGGCATGATTATTGAGTTTATGTACGTCTTGAAATCACTTAACCCCAAAAGTTTTCGATTGGTCATTTAAAATGCGTGTCAGGCTGCTCCAATCTTAACCAAGCTGGTTCCGTTGTGAGATTTATCACAGTAATTCTCTATATAATTTACTTCCCTTTTCTTGGTTTACCTAAAATTTAGGGAACCTGTTATTATTTATCGCCTGGGCGGACAATAATTTTGGTTGTATCACAGAAGGGAATAAAGCTCTGGATTATTCTAATTAATTCCCCCCTAAATGGCAGTCAATTTTCTATCGTACCCCTTTAATACCCTGTTAGCGACGATTAATTCCCACCTCCGCTACCCCTGAAAACCATTCCTCCATTAGTCAATTTGTAAAAATATGTGTTATGTAGAAGTCTATAGCCTCTATGACTCTAACTTTACCTGTGTAGTTTATTCTGCCAAAGTTCAAACCCATTTTTTCCTTCAACTTGTCGAAAGTAAACTCAATACAGTGTACGCGAGGAATCTGTGTACGGAAAAAGAGGACACTATCAATGAAGGGGTAAAAACAACACGCTACTCACTATGTTGTGCATCTTATGTGGCAGAAAAAAAAGCAATTTCAAAGGAACCCTTTTTTTTTCTTCCAACAAAACCTATTCCCGGTAGTTTGGGTAACAGGAGAAAACAAATACTGTTTAGTTCAAAACAAAGAAAATAGCGACAACTGTCGATAATCCATTGAACAAATCCTCAGTGTTATTTCTTAGCCATGGAAAGTATTTTTTTTGCGGATCAATTCCAAACCATACCCAGTACAGCTAACTCTCTATTTTTAAGTAGAGAAGGTGTGGTAATACCTGGAAGTCTGTGGTGGTAAATGTGAACCACAGCTCACTGCCTTCGATGGAGCCCTGACGACACCTGTAATAACGAAGCGCGGTGCCTGGGACGAACAACTGGTATAACAAAACTCCTAATAACACAGCTAGAATGAAGCCTGCGAACAACCAGCGGCGAAGCCCTATAGAAACGTGCAAACATGTATTAACGAATGAGATAAATTCACCCACTATGAAAAGAGGCGATTAATACAGTGAATTTCATTTTTGATTCTTAGCTATTATAAGAGTAAAAGAGTAGCGATAGTAATTGTCAATTGATCTTGTGATATCAGACCTAGACTTTCACTCAACAAAACGAGCACTGTGATTGGCTGATTCTTGTTCACGTGTTTCCTGATCAAATTCAAATGCATCCTGAATACAACAGTATGTTTTTGCCATCTGAATGTTTAAGGGAAAGTCAAAATATATAACAAAGCACCTAATGTATGGTCCCTCGGGAAACTAGTCAGTTTTATTTTCCCTCGAGTCTTGATGTTTCCCGAGATGAAGTCGAGGGAAACATCAGAACTCTCAGGAAAACAAAACTAACGGTTTCCCTCGGGACCATACATTAAGTGTATAATGTTCACCTTTAATTAATTTCTATATTCGCCTTACCTTACCTACGTCAGAGCAAAGGGCTAACGCTAGAAACGTCAGCTTTTTAACTCTTTACGGTGGCCAATTTACAATTTCAACTTAGTTGATGTAACCAAATTACCTTGCTACCGCCACCGACGCAGCACCACAGTTTCTTTAGAAACTTTCATCCTTTATTCATTTACCTAACGAACAGGCGTACACTTTTTAAGTTTTTCAGGCGAGCAGACGCTCAACGCGAACGCGAAGGTCGAGTCACGTGAATGATAAGGAACGCGGGGGTCGAGTTACGCGCGAGAGAAGGAGCGCGAGGGGTGAGTTACGTTCGTGAAAGGATCGTGAAGATTCAGCAACGTGCGTTTGAGGAAGCACGAAAATCGTACCACGCATAAGAGGAGGAACTTGATGGTCGAGTCAGGAGAGGAGGTACAAGTACGATTCGGCCTTTGCACTCGCCCCAAAAAAAGCATACTAGAAGACCTCGTGTATAATGAAAAACGTCAAATGATCCAAAAAATTCAAAGATAGGCGACATAATTACCTGAAAAACATTTCTTCTTCATCTTATTCACTTCAGTTTTGACATCTTCTCTGACGTGCTTCCGCAAGTCGTCGCTCGCAGCCTCGGCCATGTGACTGGATGTAATACTTAGGAGAATCGAAACGAACGACTGTACCAAATTAACATCGTTTTCTTCAGCGTCCCGTCTTTCTAGTGTTTGGCCGAGTAGAAAGGCATCACTGGCCATGCGACCGTTCAAACGGCTCTGAGGTATAGCAACTCCTGAGTGTTCCAATGAGGCAAAAATTCGCTCGCCGTTTTTCACTGGACCCAGTACTTTGACGTTCACCATGCCAATCACACACACGAGATCGTCTAAACCTGACACAGAACAGCCAGAAAACTCACTTAAACTTGTTAAAAAAATATTCATAAGTTTGGACAAATTACAGTAAGATCTCCATTCGGGGAGAAGACCTCGAGATTTGAATAAAAAGAACCCAGCATTCGTTCTTATGAGTCTTTCAGTACAACTTTGGACAAATCACAGTAAGATCTCTATTCAGGGAACAACAAACTCAGGAGTAGAAAAAGAGTCCCTCCGATAGGGCGCTGCTGTCCCTTTGATAAAAGAGACACACTGATTACAAGCGCATTTTTTCAGTTGTGACCAAAGTTTGCATACTTTATATTGAGGTGCTCCTATGTAAGAGAAAAGGGGAAAAAGACCTCCAAATACGAAAGGAAACCTTGGTTATAGGGTTGACGAGTAACAATAAACTGATAACCTTCTCTCACTGTTACCTTTTTCTTCGCCATCTGCTGGTGTCCTGGCCTCTAAATACGCGGATCTACTGATCACTCCCGCCATCTTAGCTTTAGACGCATTAAATTGGGTCAACTTCTCTATGTGGGTGTTGCCACTGGAACTTTCAAAGAACCCAATGATATCACCCTCTTCGAGAGGAAGGTCGAGTTCGGTTTTGTTCAGTTTGAAATGATAAGCAATGTCTCCTTTCTGTGTAAGAATAGGCTTCTTAACTCGCAGTTCATTAATTAGGGCAGATTGAGCGTCGAGGCGGTTTGTAATTATCTCTGCGGCATTGATACCTGGAAATAAGAGAGCAATTCATAAACCAAATAATACGTTGTTAACAGACAAAAAACTGGGCTCTTCAAATCGTCTGGGTCATCTCCCGAGGCATGAGGGATCAGTGCCAGGCCGATAACACGAACCAAGTCCTTGCTCTGCTGCAAAACTCGAATCAAACTGTTTCACTCATCTGCAAAACGGCTTGTTTTCTATAAGTAACACGTTTTAACTGGAAGTAGTAGAACTTTTGTCTGTGAGTATGACACGACCGAAACAGGAAAAAGAAGAGGATCGAGCGATCTGTACATGTTGCACAGGTGACACTTTACTGGTGACTTGTGATTAAGTCAAGAAAGATGCCAGGCGTGTCTTAGTTGATGCTCCGTCAGGTCCACTAAGTAACAGGAAAAGTCCTAGTTAAGGCAGTGACTTACAATCGCTGTTCATGCCACTGCTCCAACTTCCACTGGGACTGGTATCCAATGCCAACACTACAAGAAGAGAGAAAGAAATGAGCTGACAACAAACAAAATACGACTGCTTTTGTCAGCGGTTACACGCCAGACAAGAGAGATTTTCCCCAACAATCAACGTGAAAACAGAAAGATTTAGAACCACGTATACTGCAGATGCGGACGGCAAACACTAAACTCTGATTCTGCTTACTTTTCTTCCAATACTCAACTAAATTAACAGTAAAGTAGAAGAATTACAAAGCAAACAGAAAAGTTCAACTCTCCTGAGTTGACGCTCGCGTAATCATGGTTCAAAATTTCTTTCTTGTTATCGCTCATGAACAGAGATGTCAGTTAAAATTTACAGCGACAACTGTAATACATCGACGTGTCGAATGAAATACGTGAAGCATCCTCTGGTCCACAGTTAAAACTATTGGGTGAAATATAATTTGAGTGACTTTTCTTCCCACAAGGAGCAAGCATCTTCAAATTGCTCAATCGCAGTGTCTGAAATGGGAGAAAATTTACCTACCTGAGATTAGCCTTTTCCGGGCGAAATAGAAAGAAGAGGTTATAATTTTGAGTGGGGTCGCGTACAAACGAAACCTCTCTCCTTTGCACAACCCGACCCAAGCCTCTCTCGGCCGCGATCGCTCCGTTTACAACAGTTTTTTCGTTCCATTTTACTAACTGAACGCCCAGAACAGGCTACCCCGTGATTAAAACGTCCACAACTTACTTTTTCGCTTTTTTCTGTTATTTTCCGGACTTGGTGTTCCACAATATCCATTATCCACGCTTACCAAATCCTCTTCTGTGAAATGCAGCAGACAAAAAAGACTCAGATCATTGCTGTATGTATCACCACAAGAGTGTGGTACAAGAGCAAGGGAAACATTCTTCGGGTTCAATGCGGCGATTCTGAATTTTCTAGTTATCATATTTAGCGTTTACAATCTTCATCTTCATTCACCAAATGAAACTAGGAAATTTGAAGAGGCCGAGAAGGGTCTGGACAACCTTGCTCAACAAAATTTGGTTCCCGATTATCTGAGAAATTTTCATGGATGTACTGAGGGCTCTTCGCAGTTTGCAATCTTAATCTACAGGGACGCGGCGCCCCTCTCCCAATACAATAACCTGGCCAGGTTATCGTATAGTGCCCTTGTGCAAAACACTTTACTCTCTCCAGTGCCTCTCTCCAGGAGTATAACTGGGCAACGACGAATTGTCAAGGAAGCCTGATGGAATGCTGAGAGGTAACCTCACGATGAACTAGCATCCCATCCAGGGGGGAGGGGGGGTAGTATTTCTCTTAGCTGCTTCATGCTGTGGAAACTAGAATAAGCTCTGGCTGAGTGACCAAGCCACTTGGCTCACGTAGAGACTTTGCTTCTTACCCACAAGGTCATCGTGAGTACGAGTGCTGTGAACATTGTGCTATATGAATTATTCCCCGTCCAGTTTACCTGATTCCTGTTTCGCGTTTTTTCTGCTTTGCACTTGGAAGCTTTTACTGATGAATTCCTTCGTCGTTCCATCCGCAAAATGAAGCACAACAATCACGCGGAAGATGTTTCTTTCCTCTCCTTTAACGCGTGAAAGTTCATATACTTTAATGCCATTGTTACTATAAACTGAATCGAGGTTGACGGCAAAATTCGCCACAAACAAATCCTTTTTACTGTACACCAAGTTCAAAGAAACTCGCCCATTCATGTCCTGAAGAATTCTGGCAGCCTCTGGACATCTTTCCACGTATGCACGCACATCCTGGGAAAAACGTAACAAGACGACATTAGGAGACAGAAGCGACGTACATTACGAATACAGTCGACTCCCGAGAACTCATATCCTCTCTAACTCAAACCAAAATCGATTTCTCTTACACCTTCCCCCTCAGGGGGCGGGTGAGGGGAGGGTGCACCTCCTAGTAAGAGGCTAGTAGGAATGTGCCGCTGAATAGGGTCGCATATTGCACGACTGGGTCAACTATGTTGGAGTTTCGTCTAGATTGGGGTCGTACATTTTCGGGATTTTTTTAGGTAAGAAAATTCTGGTAAAGCTTTAACTAAGGTAGATGCTTAAACAGAAAGTGACTAAATTGGAATCGCGAAAATTACATTTACCCCAAAGTGACTGAGATAGGGTCTATAGTTGGCCACAATAGACTAGTGGTTCTGAGAGGCCAGCAGCACATACACAGCAAAAATTGACCAAAGTAGCCCCCTTCCACCTAGGACCATTCCGTTCATGCGAAAATCACATTACGATTCATAATAAAATATGACAGCTGTGCATAATGTTAAATAAATTAGTAATGTTCTTAATCTTTTTCGCAAAGGGTCCTTGAATAGAGACCATATTTTAAAATGAAGTTTTAACTTAAACTTAACTTAACTTAACTTAACTTAACTAAACATAATCAACCACTACCCACAAATAGCATAGCTAGTCGCGGCGGGCAGTGTGTGGACGCTAAAACATCTTACATAAATTTCGGTTCAACAAAAGATTCAATAAATATACAAGAAACAGAAATTAAATATTAAATCATTAATTTAAAAGCAGAAATGACAGTATGAGATAAAAATACAGAAATAGAAACACATGACAATAAATAGAAGAATACATAAGTTATAGGCTACTATTAACTGGATTTAACTTTTGACACATCATTGATTATCCGTTCTACGTCAACATAACTATCTTGAACTTGAAGATTTTGAAATAATAATGTTGTTAGCTGTTCATTCGAGGCTGAAAAGAAGCGAAGCCCGATCTCAAGAGGAAAAAGTTAATTTATTCAATTAGTTGATTCCTTCAAGTTTGTCTTCATTTAGGATAAACGCGAATTAAAAAAATCTAATTACCTGAATTGGTTTTTGTGAAGTTGCCATGAGGTGTACCTCTGCATCCAAGAGCCTTTGTTCTGAGTTTGCATTTCGTCGCATCTGTCCTTTCTCGTAGACATCTTTCAAATCCAGAATGGTCACATTAGCCTTCGTATCTTCCGTATAGGTCACGTCGAATGAAGGAAACACTAATAAAAGTGAAAATCAAAGTCAAAGACTTATTCAAAGAGAATTGCCTCTCGCATAAAGCAAGCATTAACCTTTAAGTCACCTGAGTGACCAAGATAGAATTTCTCAATCCAATATCAATACAATATCAATCAGACAAGAGAATAAAGAAAAATATCCATCAGGCTCCGGTTGTTCAAAGGGCGGATAACGCTATCCAACGGATAAATCGCTATCCAGCGGATAAGTGTTACCAAAACGTACTGCACTAACCACTGGATAGAGATTAATCCAGTGTATAGCGTTATCCATCCTTCCAGCGGATAAGTGTTACCAAAACATACTGCGCTATCCACCGGATAGAGATTTATCCAGTGTATAGCGTTATCCATTCTTTGAACAACCGGGCCCAGCAGATTATTAGTTGATTCAGTGCCAAATTCTCTAAACTCACACTATTAAAACTGTTCGGCACACAGTAAGGAGAGTTACAAATGAGATCTTAGTGGGGAATGCGTTAAAAGCTAATTTCCCGCTTACTAAATGGAGGTATCTCTGACAAGTCCGTTCACGCAATCGAATTAGCACTGACTTTGGGTGAACTAGCGATATGAAATAAAACGTGGTTACGTTTCTGGGAACTTTTAGGGTCAAAAACGATATTTGTGAAAGGAGCAAATTAAAACCAATTTCACGCTTAGGTCTAAGACTTGCTTTTTGGACGCAAGGCGCGATCCTTCTTACTGTGTAACTTGAATTAAAACTCACAGATGAAAAACTAAATATAACTTGATCTATGCTTTAATATGTAAGGATACTTTAGAGCTAGATTATTCCTTTATTTTACCTAACCAGCTATCTAGGTGGGGGCCACACGTTTCAATTTTCCAGGTGGGACGAAGGGGAGATCAGTCGTCGCTAAGAGCCTCATAGAATAAAGGGGGACTATAGAAAATTGAATGGCAAGGAGAGGGGAACTTAGGGAAGATCAGGTAAATATTCTTGGGACAAAAATTAAGTCCTCCGACCTCCCCCACCCCCCCTTCCCACCCAACACCCCCTTCCCCTTCACCCATGCAATAAATAATGACCTCCTCGACCAAAATAATTGTTATCGAAAAGAGAAAGACCAGAGAGAAGATTTACATCACGTGGGCCGTACGGTTTTTTGATACGATTATTCATCTTCCGCCATAAAACGTGACAGCAACAAATCTGACTAAACGAAAAAATGCGCACGTGCATAACCTCCTCGTCTCCTACCGACTAAAGTGGCATTTTAATAAAGAATTTTGCTACTAGGGCTCCACAGTTCTCTGTGCATTTCACACATAAAATGCACTGAAATTTGACGCATGTAGCCAGTTGCATCGCTCGCGATAAAGTTTCAAAGAGCGCAGTTGTACTCTCTAGATATAGGTGAAGATTTTGAGCAAATGTGAGGCGTTTCACTTGGACAAAAAAAATTGAAATCGCTGTTCAGAATTTAGCAGTCGACGCAGGAGGATGCACGGCAGGTTAAAACGTGACTTGTGCCATTCTTTTTTACAAGTACATGTGTGCATGTGCACGTTGCATCTTTATCCTTAGTAAAATTCAATCTTATAATCACAATGAACACTTGACAGCGCATATTTACGATCAACACCGACTTATTGTGGCAGAGCGTCAGTAATTGCGCACAGGTACACCAAATCCTGCTTTACCATTGTAAAAGAGGTGCAACTGCTTGTAGGATAGAGAGTAAAGATTTAAGTGAAGAAAATGAACCCACGACTTTGCTTCTATCACCCATCATCCGAGACGTGCTTCATGAAGAACGTGACAAAAGAACAAACTAGAAAAGGAGTTTTTACTCCAATTTACAATTCTATAACTTAGACGGTTTTGCAATTGACTCGCTGAAGTTTATTTATTCGCTACGGATTTTAATTTCTCTACACTATGTAAAGATATTTTCATTACACACCCCAAAAACCTGAATATCATTCAATAAATATTTCACAACTTTTCCTAAGGATATATCAGGCAATACAGGGACTAGAACCCCACTAAGGGACTCTATTGTCTGACTTAGATACGCTTTACGCTCGTCAAATTTCGAACAGCTATGTAGCTTTGAGTGGGTTTTACTGTTGTCTTTTTTTTTTTTTTTTTTACAGACCTAACCAATAATCGCTGAGATTTTTCTAGTCATTAGGTCATGTCACAAAATCGCCCAAAATTGCGTGACGCAGTTCATGCATGTATGAAAACGTGACGAGAATTTCAAATGAATTCACCTAGCACAATCGCGCGCTGATTACATGCAAGATGATTGATTCGAGTTTGGCCATTAAAAAGAAGGGAAAAAGTTAAAAATAAAATTCGTTTACTCTTAATCCTCAGGCATGACTTGACGAACTAGTTTTCATCGAGAATTTTAGGAACTATGAAACCTACGCACGCGTGGAACGTGACCTTGCCATACTGACATTTTTAACGTCTGACACGTTCAAAACCTCTTATTACAGCGAGTGCACGTTCAAACTTATCTAATGCACTCTTTTCACAATTAACTCTTCGTTTCATCGGTTCAGCAAGATAAGTTTGTTAAGTCTGTTAAAACGGCCAACATGCAAGAAACTTTAATTTAAAGATTCAACGCATTGTCGGAAATTACATGTCAAATTAAGAAGTCAAATTTTAACAAAATGCAACTAGTGCTTTTAACTATTAGTTGTATTTTATTATTATTTAGCCTGTTCAGCAGTTTAAAACTACTAAAAGCATAGTAATCAAGAAGACGATACGATCAGTAAGGGTTTTGTGTAATGCGCGACATTTATTTCCTTGCGCAAATTTCGCTTGTTGAGTGATATCCTTTGTAAATAATATAAGGCCTTTAAATTCGTTCCAATATCAATCCCAGACAAAAGCTTAACCAGAACAATAATATATACAACCTCAAAAGACAACAATGTGCACTACCATGCAAATGGCAACCTTGAAGGCTAGCCAAGGTCAACACTGAAGTATTATCGATCGAGAGTAAAAATTATCGACAGAAATTTACTGCATTTTGCTAACTGAGCCATTGTCAGCTAACGTTGATATAAATGAAATCAATTTACATAAAAGGTAGGGTTGTAATCACCTGTCAAAAGCTAAAAATCTGACGAAGGCAGGCCGCGCGTGCAAACAAAATGACTTTTCATTCTTGAGTTAGTTGAACAGGGAGTTATAATTGAACTTGCATAATCTATGGTAACGAATAAATATATCGTTAAAGTATTACGTTCGAAAATTTAGGCAGGTCTCAAGTCAGTTACTTGGAACAAAAACTCAGTCATCGTTGGGAGTCTGTGACAGTCAATTACTGGCAGAGAAATACAACATTTGAAACTTCACAGACCGTATTATAACTTAATGGAAAACGATGAAAGTACAGTATATCATTCACCATTTTCCCAATCATATCATGACTACATTACGGACGCACTGTGCGATAGACTAACAGTTAAGCAATTAAAAATACTATTGAGCGCTGCATGAATTTTTTTCATAATTATTTTACCTATCCTTTGTACGTTTATTTCATGTCATAAGTATCCTACCTGTGATTGGCTTACCTGGATCACAACTCTGAAGAAAAGCTGGGTTGAAATACAAACTGGTGTCTTCCAGAATTTCATCCAAAGTGATCGGCTGTCCGTCGATATTTAGTACATGGTCATTGCAAGGGTCGCTCATTTCCAAACTTACGTTGCCCTCCAGTTTGACGAAGTTGAAGAAATGCTGGAATCAGTAATTCCTGCACAAGAAAAGAGAAAATTCGAAGAGGCTGGCACCAGCTTACAGCTTGAAATACGATCGCCAAGAGTGTCCTTGTTGTCTGAAATCCGCGCACAGGTATTACCCAATATATTCTGTCCTTTTGTTTGTAAGATGCACTAAAATGTGATGTTGTCGACCGAGATGGTTGATGAACTCTTGTTCAAAGTCTACTCGATACAATCAGTACTTCTCTATGTTCGCGAATGACTCGACTGAAAACAAGAAGTTTCCACGAGCAACGATAGACCTTTTTATCTGTCAAAATGGAATCAACAAAAAATTCCTTTCCTTTAGTGTACAGATTATAACGATTTGTCCAATCAACCGTGAAACTTCCGGAGGTGGGACACGGAAATCAATTTTTGCTTTGAGGGCTTCAAATTGTTCAGGCCTCTCAATTTTTCGTTTTTATCCAACTAAGAGAAAATCTGCCGTGAACTTAGTAAATTTAAAGCAGAAGATGTCTGTTTTAGGACATAACAATATACACGGAGCACACGGAACAACTGTTGAGTGAACCTAACGTGACGCAAGTATGCCATATAAGGATAGAGGAGGAAATTATTTGAACGTAATCGCATTATATTTCAACATCACCTGACTTTATAAACTACTACCGACACTCCGACACTCAAAGAAGTGTCCTTAGTATTGGTAATGTGCCAAGTAGGGGGGACTCAAAGCTTGAGCGCGGTAATCGAAACGTGACACACGCCTGGAACTAATTGACTTGTGAATTTTTGTGTCCATGACATAAAAGATTGAAGCAAACATCTCGGACTAGTGAGATAAGGACAGCACACTGGATCATGACTGGATCTTGCGCGTGTATGATAAACAGCACGCGAAAATGCACCGTGTCGCGTCGCATGAAGACGTCTATTACGTCATTACATTGACAGCAACATATAAAAAAACAAAATTACTCTCTGATAAGGGAGGGCTTATCGCTGACTAGACAAATCTAATTTCAATGTTTTTTCTCGTTCTGCTGACTGTACAAATACTCTATTTTTCAATGCCCTATTAATCTTAAGAGGTACGCGAGCTTTGGCTGAATAAAAAGGCAATAGACAGTGACTTGAGGCTCCTTAGATCGCTTGCGACTAATATTTATTATAAGTGCTCTGTGTTTTCGATATTTCACGTCTGTTTCATCGACATAAAAAAAGTTAAAAAAAGAAAACAATTCTGGTTTCCCACAAAAAGCATAATTAAGACTGTAAAAAACTCTAATTACTTCTCTATGATCCATCAGCCTCTCAATCATCTGAAATCTTCAGTCCCATCTAACAAACAGATGTTCGCCCTCGATTGATTCTGTCACTTTACAGAATGTTACCGAAGGAAACCTAGGTCATGCAACAATTTCGGTGAAAAGTCAAGGGTCAGTCTAGCAAGTTCACTTGAATATCATGGATTGTATCCCTTTGTCAGAAATAATTTCATTTTCAACAGGGATTCAACCACGCAAACTAAATCGTATTTCCTGAATAAGTTCTCAGAAAACTGTATGGGATATTGGAATTTAACACATCAAAACACGGATGGAAAACATTCGAGTATCGGCGATATATATAAGCTATTTTAAAGTTGTTCACAACACACGAAGCCTTTCAGCTAGTTGTCTATGCATTTGTTTCGAAGAAAGTTAGAACGGTACTTTTCAAAAAAAGCTTCCTAGAAACTGTAGTCGGAGTGAATATCAGGAAAAAGTAGACGTGGTTGTTTGGAGATTGACTAAGCAATTCTTTAACGTTGAGGATCAAGGCAAATGTCACGTTATGTTTCTAAATGGACACGTACGAAGCTTAAGATGAGACCAAATGTAGGAAAATCCATCTGAATTTTAAAGGCGCAATGAGTTAGGTTGCGAGGTTTGTTACCGGTCGGACATTCCACATACAAGAACAAGTTACCTTCATACGTGACTCACAAAGTGAATTCTTGGAAACTATGCAGGAACAAGAATCTAAAACCACGTGCGTCACGCATCGATTCTCATTCGGCAGTGATAATACGCAGCGCGTGAACTGTTTCCTTTTCCCGGTCGTTTATATAACGCTGTCATCAAGATTTCCGAACTACTTTTTAAAGAGAGAAATGGATTACTTGACATTCCACATATTAACCACAAAAAGGAGTGACGTGATGAAGCTGAAGCCGTACACTTTAAGTGCATCCAAAACAAGTTGACTTAAGACAGGTCTTGTTTAGAATTACGTCTGGAAAATAAGTTTATTTCAAAGCAGCATCCCTCTCGAACTTCAACCTAACCCTGGTCTTATCTTAAGCCCTTAGCTTTTCTTCCCTTTCTTCCCATTTTTAACCCAAATCGCATAAATATATTCTCAAGTCCGTCTCAATCACTGTCTATGAATTCATCACTGTCTGTAATCTTGTTCTCTCAGTTTTTTCTGACTGAAACCGGAAACACGTCATGCAGAATTATTTTTAACACTTCCCAAATAGGAAAAAATTGTCCTCGTGTTTCAAATGGGCGTTGCAATGGCAACCTGGGATCTAACCAAGACTTTTAGAAGCACGAAACTTAGAGCAAAAGTGTTGTAGAAAGAAGAAAAACAAAACATCCGCCAGACGAGAAGAGTAACAACTAAGTGTAATCCAACCACTCTGAAACACATCAAAAGTAACATGTTACAATATTTTAATTATAGCCATGTTATCATTGCCCACGTGTAATTCACACAGACATCCCCGTCCTTTCACAGCACGTCTAAAATACTAACTACTTCTGTAAACTTGATGCCACATCTCATCCGAGGTTTACTTTTAACGAATTACAAATATTTTATTTTGTGAAAGATATTACAGAATTCTCAATGCACGACAAGCTAGTAGGTTACGTGGCACTACGGTAAACCAAATTGAAATGGTGGTATTAAGAGCTTACCACAAAACGGGAACAAGAAGAAAAACACAAGTTAGCCGTGTGCTTATGGTTAGTTTGAATGGAACTGGAAGGGTGGAGCGGAAATTTAGATAGCATTGGTTGGCTGTAATTATCATTTAGCAATGATACTACGAATCGTCATGAAATATTTATTTTTTTTCGAAATCTGTTGAATGAAGATGGTCTTGCATCAACCCATTAAACCCTACGAGTGACTGGCATCTATTCTCTCCTTACAATAACACTCTTGGATCAAACACCAAGGTCTCGAGAGTAAAGGAAATGATCACCGACGACTCTTGTTTGTTAAACAAATTCTCCTTGTCAGTACCTCAGGAAATGTACAGAGAACAGTATAGAGAAAATGCATACTGATTTTAGGGTGTAAAGAGTTAGATACAAGACCATACACTTTCTGTTTTCACGTTTCATCGAACCGCTTTCCACAACTGATTTCCAGCCCTATGCCTCTTAGCTTCCCTTCTACTATCCTTTGTTTAGTTGCTGGTTATTGCAATTTAAGAGAGAAACACGCATCGTACAAAGAGCTTATGTTCCAAATTATTCGCACTTTTCATTTTAAAATTCCTCCTCGCTCTCCTTGATTCGTTCCTTGGAGAGATAAGCAAACTTTTCAAGCACTTCGTCGACCGTCTTCTCTCCGTGAACTTTATTGTCGCGGGTACGGACATTGACCGTGTTCGAATTTTCTTCCTTTTCACCCACAACTGAAAGAGAACACAAAGGAAGAGTTTTTAACGCTGAAGGACTTACATCTGTCGGATATAAGGGACCTTAAGCAAACCGCAACAGCAAGAGCAACGACTAGGAAATAATAGCTCAACGCGTCCTTTTTATAATTCTGTACATTTTCCAACCAACAAAGTGACATCGCCAAATTAGGCGTGGTTTAAGAGCGACAACCCAGACGACAAAATAGTTACGTTTCTCATTGAAACTCAACTCTGTTCACAAAAGTCATGCTGAAGCTGAAGTGTAGCTCCGTGAGAGACTGTTCAGACATTTAGCCGTTCGTCAAATCCTTAAGAATAGAAATCAATGTTATTCTTAAGAATTTCGCATTACCAAATATGAAGTTGTACTGGGCAAGCTGTGCGTTCCTGATCTTCTTGTTCAGTGTAGTGCCATGGTCAAGGTCAACATCGGCCTGATACCCTGCACTGAAAACGGTCTTCTTCACCTGCAAAACAAAATACGACACCAATATAACACAATTTCTGATTTTAAATCCTCACTTTTGACTGTAAGAGAAATTTGAGATCAAGTGTCCAACGTAATCAGCAGGGTTTTCAATGACTTTTCTCTATAAATGGCAGTTACCGATGTTGTAACAGGCGGTGAAACCGTAAGGGGAAACCCAAACATGAGAGCTTGCTCAATGGCGGCGGACCCTTACACGCACATAAAACTTGTCGACACTGTGGAAGAGTTTTCATTAAGTCCTTGTAAAATGCAAGGAATGGGAAGATCCCCGCAAGTTACTTAAATCTTTCCTACTGGGAAGCTTGGATCCACGTCCAGATATAATACTTCCTTTCTAAGAAGTAAATTACGGCCGCTAGCAAACCCGATGAGAACTATCGGCACGAGACTCTGAGCGCTTGGGTAGCAGTCACCCAGTAAAGATATAAGGTCGTGAACATTTATCGTGATGAAATAGTCAGCATTGATGGCGGAGTTTCGTCTCCACACATATACATCGATTAGCGACCATTGTGAAGTGTGGTCATACACACTACTAGACATGCTCTAACGAGGAATGGCGCCACAAGTAGGCATGGAATAACATTTAAATATATTCACAGACCTTGATTGCATAGTCTTCGTACTTAGGAGAAACAGGGATAACAATGGCTTGAGTTGGAGAAAGCCAGAATGGCCTGCAACAACAACAACAACAACAACAACAACAACAACAACAAAATAACAGTTTATTCTACAATCAAAATGTAATGCCCAGAAAATTTGCTTTTCACTGATACAAATCATAAAATCAATCACTGATGCAATTTTCAATTGAATGTCGAAAGTAATGCGGGATTACTTTGTATTTGCGTTACTTCGTTATGTGATTCGTTTGGAAAACCCGCGCCACTTTCTTAACCCAATAAGATGGAAAACTAAAACCAATCGCGACTTGGTCGCCCGTGTTTTCCCGCGCTATGCGTTAAGCTCTCATTGGCTCAGAAAAGTATTTCCTATCTTCTGATTGACTGTTGCGATTACCTTGGTTCTGGTTTGCGAGACTCAATAGAAAAGCGCTCCATTCATCTACTGTTTCTCGTTTATTGTTATCAATAAATTAAGTAATACTCGTCATTTACCATTTTCCACCAAAATTCTCAGTCAACACAGCAATCATTCTCTCTACGGAGCCCAGAATGGCGCGGTGAATGATGACAGGCCTTTTCTTCTCATCGCCTTCGCCACTACATCATGAATTGAAACAAAATAGAATCATGATTTACACTTAAATGTGCAACACCCCACCTTATCCATAGCAGAAGATATTCATACGACCATACTATTTACTCTGTGGAGCATTACATATCAGTAGCGACAGACAGACAGACGCCGAGGGACATCTGAGGGAGGAGGGGAGGAGGGGAGGAGGGGAGGAGGGGAGGTTACAAAATCACGAGTTGTGAGCTATTTTTCGGCCTTAACTCCATGTCACTCAAAGGTTGGACGACCAAATCCAACAGAAATATACTATCCAAAAGATGGTGATTTATCCAAGAAATGGTAATATATATCGATTCGCTAAATTATAGATTTTTTTACAAGAGAAAAAAAAAAAAGTCATTGACGACTAAAAACCGACCTTCTCTTACCTGACATAAGTTAGATTGAATCTTTCTGGAAGATGGAAGTCAAGCTGGATAGTTGCACACTGATGATACCGGCGGAGCGCGTCCTGAATTTGAATATCAATCTAGCAAAGAAAAAAATGGATTACACTTGCAACTAAAGCGCACCTTCAGTAGGAACAGTGGAAACGCTAAGCACCTTAAAATTCATCTAACCTGATCGCAAACTTGTTATGTTTCACAACAATAAAAATAAAGCTACTAAAAGAGTTATTTGCTCAGTAAGTAGTCACTTTGCAGTTTAACATTTAACTATGGATAGTGCACGTCAACTTGGTTAGCTATCCTTGGAAAACTGGGGGCCGCTGTGGACAAGCTTTTTGAGCCCGCGGTGGTCATATGATACTCAGCGGATCAATACTACTATCCGAAGAAATGCTTGGATGTTTAGAGGAATCGACCGACCAAAATTTCTCCCCACTTTTCATGAAATTCACTCGCTAAAAATTGAACACCCCCACAGACACTGTACATTTCTGAAATATTGGTGTACCTTGGGTCCATAAAACGCTCCATCTCCTGGGTTCAACTTCCACTCCATTCCAAACTCATTGAGACATCTTTCCAGCTCCTAAATAAATCAATAACAACACTCTTAAGACCTCCTGATCCTGACAGGGTCACTGCTATTTTACCCTTCAAATCCTAACATCAAAATGTATATTCTCCATACTGTTTTCTATAAATTTCGCTTGGTACAAACAAGAAGAATTTATTTAACGAACAAGAGCTTCTTTAGTTGGTGATCATTTCCTTTATTCTCGTGAGGAGAAATTAGTTACTCGTCACTCTTAGTGCTTGAAAGATGCAGGACGACATCAGATATTCTTGAGACCAATTCAAGGGTTGAAGCTACCATATCAGTTTTAAAAAACAAAGGCCCTACACTTCCTTAGGTTCTCCCTAGGCAAATTTGACAAGCAAAGGTCCAAAACAGTACACGATAGGCACAGAATCCCTCATCTATTCTAAACCTTGTTACAGATAGATCCCTAAGAGACGTTTTTTTCGCTTTGTCGCGAGCGCGGAGCTTTAAAGAAAATTCATTAGTCCTCATAAGAATCAAATCTCGAACCCTCAGATTCCACTTCGAATCAACAAGGGTTTTCCTCGTCTCACGCTTGTGACAAGACGAAAAACATCGAGAACTTCACCATCTTTTTTGTTCATGAAGACAGACCCAGTCAATAGTGCATTAGAACAATTGCCAATTGAGTGTCGGAAGTAATCCGGGATTGCTCTGTTTTACTTTACTTTGTTATGTCATTGGTCCAGAAAACTCGTGCCACTTTCTCAACCAATCAGACGCAAAACTAAAACCAATCACGAACTTGGTCGCCTGCCTTTTCCCGCGCTTGTTTTTACATTGAGTTCTCATTGGCTCTTCAGGGTATTTTCTTATCTTCTGAATGTCCAGTATGATTACCTTGATTTTGGTTTATCGCTCGCTCACAAAATCAGTAACCTCACCTTCTCAGCACTGTCCCAAAGCTCCAGTTTACCCATGTACTTCTCAGGTCTGGTGGACAAGTAAAGTTTGAATGAGAAACCAAACTTGTTGTAGACGAATTTCAGAAAATCCAGGCAGCCTTTGATTTCATCACCAATCTTAAATAAAACACAGCCAGTGAATAATCCATTCAATCTTAAACTCATGTTTCAAAATCCCTACATACAAAATGAAAACGTTCTTCTTCAGTAATATCTCTGACAAATATTTCTTTTTGCTGGCTTAAAAAAACTTCCTTAACTTTTGCTTCCATCGCGAATTTTTTTTTCACTTAACACATTTCCGGCCTCTGACAAACAAGTGTTACAAACAAATGCCAAATTTAAGTACATAAGGAAAAAAACGTTCTCTGGCACGTAACCCTTTCAATACCACGACTGACCAAAAAGACACCTCCCCTCACAATAAAAGTACAGTTTGAAGCAGAAACGCAGTGAAAAGAAAGAAAAATGTCAACTTTGGAATATTTCTTGATTTAGTATCAAATTCTCAGAACCAAAACTTATAAGACCTTTATGGCGACCAGTGCAGAGAATTTATGATGGAACTTGCGAGTGAAAGGGTCGAGTTAAAAAATAAACTTGTACCTGATCTGGTCTGCAGAAGATGTGGGCATCATCTTGTTGAAATCGTCTGACCCGGGTCAGTCCAGTGAGTGTCCCAGACAGTTCATTACGATGAAGAACTCCAAAGTCTGCCATTCTTAGTGGGAGCTCGCGCCATGATCGAGGACGATGGTCAAACATTACACTGGAAGGAAACCAAATATTAACTCAACATGCGAGACGGTAACTCTTCCAACAGATCAGTGAATCAGTGAAATTAGGATTTCACCTTTTCCCTAATGTACAATTAACAATAGCTCCGGTTAGCAAGAGTCGAGGGGCACATCGAAAGAGGACCTACTGGCAATAAGTTAGTATATACCACACATGCAAAAAATGCTTTTCACATGCACTGATTGGCTAGTTCAGAACTGATAAAGCAAATATTATTCACTTTTGATCCACCAGAGAGACAAAATACCATCAATGAAATAGTTTATACTTTTTTTAACTAAAATAACATACTTGTAAATGAGGCTGTTTTCAACTAGTGGCTAAAATTTTTCTTTTACTGCAGAAAAGTTTTCCTGACAGCTCTAGACACCTCAGAACTTTCGTGTTTCACTTAAAGAATACTTACCAGTGTCCTGGACAATTCATGGGCTTCAGAGCATACCGTTCCTTCTCCACCTCAAAGGAGAACATGTTTTCCTAGCAGAGAAATACTTATAATCAAAACACTGCTTGCATTTAGAGTACCATAAGGTTCAGAATAGAATTAAGGCCTTGAATTCTTACAGAATAATGCTGCCAGTGTCCTGAAGTCTCCCACAACTTGGTGCTGTAAATGTTTGGTGAAATAACTTCCTGGAAACCTCGCTTGTTGTACTCTTCCTGATTTAAAAAATATATATATATTGTTAAAAAAAATACAAGATAAGCATCATAAGAATTTCTCAACACAAAGACCAGCAAATGGGCTAAAAGGCCCATCTAGGTGGGTGCTTTTCCTGGTTTTCAAATAGTCAAACCACTAGGAGTGCTGCCACTACCTGCTAATAGAAATCTAGTGTATTCTGTTGTGAGTTACACCCATCATTTTACACAGTTTCCCTTATTGAAAAGAGACAATATGAAAGTTTCTAGCCCAAAAACTCAACAAAATAATCTAGCCAATGGACTAACATCCCATCCAGGGGGGAGCAGTAATACTCCCTGTTGCTCCATGCTATGGAAACCAGGATAAGCTTTGGCTAGATGGGCCACACTTGGCTCAAGTGTACATCATCCCTTTTTTCGGAAGATAAATGAAAAAAATAATGGAATTGTCTTAACATACAACCATAAAATTACAATATACTTCAGTTTAAAGATAATTATTTTAAAGGATATGGTACCTTTATAAAATTGATGAGTGTGTTGTAGATTTGGGCTCCTTTGGGTAAAAAGAAACAGCTGCCAGGACTCAACTCATGGAAGAAAAACAATTCGTGATCCTGAATTAAAAAGAAATTATCAATTAGCACAAATAAATCTTGGGTCACAGCTGCATAAACATACCAACAGAGACACATTTTGTAATTATCCTGGGCCCACTTATGTGTACAACGCTGGGTTAAGATATTCCAAGGTAAGTGTGAAATCGGATTTCAATTATGAGAACTTTAAAGAAAATTCAAAATAATTATTTTTGTCTATAATTTGATAATTGGAAACTCTGAAAAGAATGGACAAATTTATCTAATAAGGCTTTTAACAAAGGAATAAGGAAACCTGGATTAAAATTTAACCTTAGGTTTCCACTAAACTGCATTCAAACAACTGGGCTCAGATTCTTGGTTAGTCCTTTGTTTAAATATTACTTTTTATCACTATTGTTGGCATATAGCAAGTAAACTTTACGAGAACTATTTGATTTAAATATACGAATGAAAACACTTTTATGGCTTGAGAACTAGTGGTAACTGCTCTTTCAACAACCAGGCCCAGATCTTGGGAGGTCAAAAAGTTAAAATCACTCTCATACCCTTCCTAATTTTCTGTGATCTCTTTTAGCAGCTTCCTCCTGAAATTTTTTCCACTCTTTCATCTGGTATATTAAAAGAAGACAGAGTAGAACACAGTAAGTTTTTATTGGCTTAAAACTGTTTCATGTTTTTGGGTATACCATGTACATGCATTAGTTCTAACCCAAGGCAAACTAACTATGAGGTCAACAAAAACTGGACACCATGAGCCTGTCCAATACTTTCTTTAAATAGAGTATCCCTTTTGCTGATATTTCTAACATACAACTACCTATTTCGCCTGTAAAGTTTAAGCAAATGAAGAAATGTAACAAAATACAATAGTCTGCACTTTAGTTTTGCAATATTGAAGAACCTTAACTGCCAGGTAATTTGAAACAAAAATCTTATCTCCACTGATTAATGTAAAACCCATACTTGGAAATTCCTGATTCCAAGAAACAAAAGTACAGGAACCAGCAATATAGGATGTTAGCATGGATAAACTCCCCTTTTGTACAAGAAGAAATGATTTCTATTCCCAATAAATTGTTAAATTAACCTGTTTCTCATTTGGGAATGAGATTCCATAGAGCCGCTGTAGAGATTCTGCTTCACAGTTTCCTTCCCAGTATGTAGCAGAGTTCTGAAAACAAAGGAGTGAATGGTCAACATTTTTAGCAGAAGTGCACCACAATTTACAGGCACAACATACAAGTAAGGACAAACAAATGGCTCAAAGGAAACACAAACAAGATTACACTCCCTGCCTAATGCTCTCCAAGCTTGGCTTTTTTTATTTCAACAAAAATTCAGTGTCATTAACACAAAAGGGCACCTATACTCCTACATATACCTTCGTAACTGTCATGGCTTTTATCTTTCCAGTATGCCTTACGTGAGGACCCCGGCACAAGTCAATAAGAGGCCCACACCTGAAACAACATAAACATCACACATTATTTTCGATATCTTGATGAAATATTCTATTCTTGTAAAATCATACTTCTCACTGCCCAGTCTCACAACTTATTGTGTTTCCAGACTTACCTGTAGACAGTGGTGGTGGGCGTTTGTACTTTTTCTCTTATTAACCTGCATTTGAATTCATTGTACTGCAAAAGAGAACAAAGCTTTTAGAAATGACATAGATGCAGATGTTTTTTTTTTTTTCTCTTGAAAGGACCTAGAATGTACATCAGACCAAGTATTCCCTTCGGTTGAACAAAACATAGTTAAATACATATATCTTATTAGATGTTTTGTTGTGTAGTATCGCTGTAGTATCGCTGAGGGCTTGTCAAAATACGACACAACTCGTAAAAATACTCAGCGATAGGGCGAGTCAAAATACAGATAACGAGTAAAAATACTCAGCGACACTACACAAAAAAACGTCTGATAAGTTATTTATTATCCAACATGCCAAACTGTTGTTTCTGCGGGCGAATTTCGCGGATATTTATTTACGGAAGTGCGTGACAGAAGTATGCGAAGCAGAATGGAATTGGCGCGTTGTTATGTTGCTGTTTCTATTTTCTTCATTAAATGAAGAAATTTTCTGGTCGTCAAGCTGTTTTTCTTCCAANATTCATCAAATGAACTTGGATCTATATTTGCCAGCCATTCTGACTCTTCGTCGTCGGAAATATGATTGAAATTGTCTGCCACTTTTTTTTTACGTAACTACAATCCAATTCTTCGCTTGCGCGATGCAAGAAAACCAGTTTAACCGGTACTACAACAGACGAGTACAAATACCGCTTGATATGTGTACTCGTCTATGGCGTTATTCGTACTTGTCTAGGTGTAGTTGGATAATAAACTACAAGTATTTCTTGACATAATTTACCTGTTCAAAAATGTGTCCAGACATATTGCGAGATCAAAATAAAAATTTTGTCAGTTATGTGACAATTTTGGTCAGACATTATCAAGTGAAAACTGTTTGTTTTGTTTCGTTTTGTTATTATTAAGTTGTTGTTTTTTTTTTTTTTTGCAGCTCTGAATGATTAACAATTTCAAAACAAAAGTGTACAATATAGCATTAAAGCTCTAATATGAAGGAAAATATTCAATTCCAAACCTTTGCCACAGGCAGCCTATGGGATGAGGGGCAGGGGGGGGGGAAGGTTGGCTTGACAAAAACTCACTAAGTGACAAAATGGGAGTAAACCATATTGCCTCTGAATTACTGCTTTTGATTTATTGCACAAGGTGTACAACACACATTTCTTTGGTTAAGAACCAACAATGTTTAGAACAGAATGTACAGCAAGCCTTTATATATCCACAATTATGTTGCAAACCTACTAAGCGCAGACAAATAACAATAAACAACTATTTTAAAGTATTGGATTGGGTGCAGGGGGGGAGTGAAGAGAGAGGGAAGGGGACTGTATTAAAATGTTTATGTTGCAGTGAGTCCCTGTTACATAATGAAAAAGTAATACCTTGAACATCTCCAAGAGGTCTTCCTTTGACATTTCAAGTCTTATAAATGGTTGTTTCTCCTTGACAATGGACTTTGTCAAAGAATCCAGAGCAGGATAGTCATTGGATGAAACCTGCCTATAGTTGGCACAAAGAATGCAGAGAGTGTAAAAGATAAAATGACAAACAATAATATCCCACAATTACTCTCAACTTCTTTGACATCTTGCTAAAAGTTTCAGGGACTTTGTACAACTTCAAAACAGCACCAGTTATTTACATGAACTCTAACCCAAACTACAGTCTTAAAAACAGTGGGCCTCAGACTTTCTTTATAAAAGGATTTATCAAATTACATAATTAAATTTCCTTCCACCATAAGGCTTTTGGCCCCATTTACACTGTTCACAAAAATAAATGTTCATATAAAAAGTTCAGCTAAATTGAAGATTGTTTAGCAGACAGTTTTGATGCTGACATTGATGTCTTTTTGCTTTCAAGATTTGATGTAAAATCCAACGATATCCTCATGTTAACATTTTTCTCACTTCTTGTCACCTTTCTGCTTGAAATTGTATTGACAGTAAACTGTTGAAGGTGAAACTCCGTGAGAGAGAAAAGATAACCAGGATAACAGCAGTGACACCACAAGTGAGTACAAAGTGTGTCCTTTACCTTTTATCCAAGAACATGTCATAGTAATATCCCTCCTCGATTGGTGGACCATAACACAGATGGCCGCCATAATGTCTCTCCATTGCTTCACCCATAATATGGGCACTAGAATGCCAAAATACTGCTCTGGCTATTACAGATCATTTAAAGAACAATCCATCATTATTGTTATAATTTTAATATATCAACAAAGTTGAAATGGTAAATTGGCCACCATTATGGTTATAAAAGCTGATGTTTCGAGCGTTAGCCCCTCGTCGGAGCGTTTGTTAACCCGCTAGCCCTTAAGAGTGACCAACATCTAATTTCTCCACACAGTATCAATGCTGAATCAAACACAAAATAATTCATGAGAATTAAGGAAAAAATCCTTTGTTTGTCTTACAAATTCTCATTGTCCATGCCATTGGAAATATATAGAGAACAGTCTGGAGAAGATGCATATTGATCCTAGGTGTAAAGGGTTGATTCATTTACAACACTTCACAATGAAAATGACCAATTGCATAGTCTAATTTTCCCTGAGAGGTCATTCCCTGAAATAATTTATTGCCAGTGACAGTTGACTAGCATTTAACAAACTGAGTTGGAGTCTATGTTTCAGTCAAGGAGAGAGATCTGTTGGGCAGTTGGATGTGTTGGTGGAAACTGATTGGTGAGTTTTTTCATGATACTGTTGGCAGTAAAATTCAAGTGTTGTTTATCAGTTGTTATCATTAATCAGTCAATCTGTCGGTAAAGTAACAGTCGTTCAGCTCAAAAACCTTTGCCAACAAGTTCACATAGATTTTTCATTAGATCCTGTATTTGCCAAGGGAAGCTACTGTTCATGTGTCACTTCACTACATCGGTAGCTTCTGGAGAAATATTATGCCTATGTACCCTTTGATGAAGCTTTGTAAAATATTGAATACCCTTAGTGAGAGTGGTTATTTCAAAATAATACTACTGATAAAAACACTACCAATCTCAATTGTCCTCAGTTACCTTCATCATCTTCAAATTTTAAAAATTCCAGAGTACAATCTTCTTCAAGAACTCTGTCCAAATCAAACACTTCACCATTGACCTAAAAAGTAATTACAAATACCCTTTTTGACTTTATTACTCCATACACAGCATTCATACTCTTTTTCAGATATAAATTTTGAGGAATTTTCTAGGACTCATATTGAATTCTCAGGTCTCCAAATTTCATCTTTAACCTTTTCATTCCCAAGATTTCAAAATCAATTCTCCTTACAGTCTACATATATATTTCTTATCATTTAAATTCTGAAAACTTTATTGCTTGAGTTAAGCAGATTTCCAAGACTTTCCAGGACCTGTAATTTAAAACAAAATTCCACAACCTTTCAATTTTTTCTAGGACCCATGCAAAACCCTGCATACAATGTACCTCACAATATAAGTATGAAAACCACCAAGAAAAGCAAAGTGAACCTTTTCAAAACTCAAAAGTACAACATTTTAGAAGATATGACGGCAATACTTTAAGAACAACAAACTGACCTTGCAAACAACAGTGTTATCAGCAAGTCCTTGGCTACAAGATAAAAGAGGAAATGATAAGAGTAAAATTGCGGCCTTGGAAAGCTCCAGGTAAATGTTGTCCAGTGATAATTTCCTCAGCACTAAATCTAACTGATGACTTGACATTTTCAAGTAAAAAATGGCTTTCACAGTCTGCATGTATCACATGTAACTAACACTTCAACTCTTGTATTAGCTGGGTACATAAGTTTCCATACACATATCTTTTGGCAATCGAATGATTGAGTGGGTTTTGACAAATCTATAACTCGTACCTAATGGAACTTGCAACATCGTAGGGGGTGGTCTTCCAGGCCAGTCCATCTACAACTTTACCATCTCGTAAAGTCACTTTAATTGGCGTTTTCTCTTTGGCTGAAGTGGAGAAAGAATTTTCAGCATAACAACAACTTTAGATCACAAGGGAAAAGCTTGGTGATTACTGTACTATAAAAATCATTGAACCTCTAACTCCTTATTGCTCTTACACTTTAACATATGTATGTGACACCCAATGTTACGGCCAAGAGTGATCAAAATCTCTTGGCTGTAAATGGAAATTTAGTAAACCTCCTTGTAAGAAGGGCAATGAGAGCTAGGAAAATTATCAACAAAAGTGAATTTTTATAATGAACCACCACATTTACACAACTACAGAGCAGTCAACAAAGAAATGTAATGTCATCAGTTAAAGAAGCTAACACAGAAACCCAAAGTATCACTGAAGAAAAAGTAGCACAGCACTGATTCTTTTCTAGGATTGTAATGATAGCAAGATACTTCTCAAACCCTTTCACTCCCATGACTGATCAAGACAGATTTTCTCTTTACAATGCCAATACAATATCAAGCAGACAAGTGATAAGAATAGAGAAAAATATCAATTAGGAGATTGTTAACCAATCCAATATCAAATTCTTGCAACTAACATCATGAGAATTGTATGACAGATAGTAAGGAGAATCACTAATGAGATGTTAGGAGAAAAATGGTTAAATAACAATTATGCACTACAAGATTGTCCCTACCCCCCTAAAAATGGTCTCCACTACACTATAGAACAAAATTAACAATTCTGTACCTTCAATTTTAGCGTCATACTCTGCTTTTAGTCTCTCAAAAAGCTTTATTCTTTCAGCTAGAAAGGCTGGAGGTGGGTCCAACTAAAAGGCAATTATAAAGTTTGTTTGGTACATAGGTGTGGTTACAGCATAAAATGATGACCTCTTGCCTAATGCATACAAGACACTTCTGTAGCAGTCAATGTTAGGCATGATCAAGCATGACAGTGATTGCAAATGGAAAGAGTCATGCAGGAAAAAGAAAGAGATATTCAGGGTTGTCAAAAAAGATTTTGAGTAACCAGACTATGATATAAAGGTGACACTGAACAGTTTTATACCAGACCATGTCATGCTTCAATGCTGAAAATTGAGGCAAAAACATTTGGAATGGTCAACACATTTTACAGATCTAGAGCAGATCATGTATTGCTCTTGCTACTGTCTTATTTTTACAACCTGGATATGTAAAATATTGTAAAAAACATAATGAAAGTGAAATACTTATTTTCAAGAAAAAATAACAGATCTTAGTCCGAAGAGAAAATTTTCAAAACTTATAATCATTTTTTTTAAGATGCTTATTGTTTCAACTAACATGTACTTTCAAGTGATAACTTGCCCTGGAGTTTTCAAAGAAAATTTGCTCGGGCCTTAAAAAATGCAGTGAATTGCCATTCTTTGTCAGAATGAAATTAAAAAAACAGCAGTGCAAAAGTCACTTGACCATTAGAATAAAAATTTCTTAATTGAACAATTGTAAAGTGAGACAATTCCCCTTGTTGGAGATCACAAATAGCCAGTTCCCAAGTACAGAACCCATAAGGATTTCATCTTGGCACAGGAAAAAGTTCACTTTCAACATAGAACACATGACTCTTAATCCTCTATTAAACATCAAAATTTCCAAGAACTAGAACCATAGTTAGTAGAGGGGACAGGTTAGGAAACCTGGCAAACTTCAAAGGATTGGTCTATTGTTTGGGTTTTGATGTTGAACCATACCATCACGTGACCCTGACCATGCACACATTTCATAACAATTTTGTATTTGGAGGAGATTTAGAAGCAATCCTTGATGCTTTGACGAAGACATAGAACAGGAATTTATCAAAGGTGTAGATGATGCGAGTATAGAACATGTATTCTATCGTTCCTATGAACTTGTTTGAGTCAATTCAAGATGCTTAAACTTCGGGTCTTGCTGCTTTCGAGTGTGATCGAATATCTTTAGTATATCATGTAGCAGATGAGGTATTTACTCTCCCTTCTAGATTCACTGCCTTTTTTAATAGTAAATTTCATGATTTAATTGTTAGATAATGGCAAGTTTGATAGAATGACCACAATATCTCAGAACTTGGNCATAGTTAGTAGAGGGGACTGGTTAGGAAACCCGGAAAACTTCAAAGGATAGGCCTATTGTTTGGGTTTTGATGTTGAACCATACCATCACGTGACCCTGACCGTGCACACATTTCAAACAAAATGGCGGACGACCATAACAATTTTGTATTTGGAGGAGATTTAGAAGCAATCCTTGATGCTTTAGAGGCCGACGAAGACATAGAACAGGAATTTATGGAAGCTGTAGATGATGTGAGTATAGAACATGTATTCTATCGTTCCTATGAACTTGTTTGAGTCAATTCAAGACGCTTAAACTTCGGGTCTAGCTGCTTTCGAGTGTGATCGAATATCTTTAGTATATCATGTAGCAGATGAGGTATTTATTCTCCCTTCTAGATTCACTGCCTTTTTTAATAGTAAATTTCATTATTTAATTGTTAGATAGTGGCAAGTTTCATAGAATGACCACAATATTTCAGAACTTGGGTGAACGCACTGACTTGACTCTAACCATGATGTTGTTGTTTTTGTTCAGGTAGAAAAGATCGAAGTTGTTTGCGAACTTTGTGGTAAAAAGTGCAAAAGCAAGCGTGGTCTGAAACGACATAAGACAATGAAACACAAGGAATTAATCGAGGAACCAGTTGTCCAAAACTCAGTGGAAACTTCCGTCGGAGAAACAATCAGAGCTGCAGACAAATCGCTAACAACAGATGACCTGGTAGTTATGGTTGAACAAGTGAAGTTAAAACTCTCTAATACCATGGTCTATCAAGAAAATATTAGAGAAGAGTTAAAGGCATATACTTTCGTAAGGCCTAGAGAAGATTCGAAAGAACTTGGAGTTTTAAAAGAAGCCTACGATGGATTGCTGAAAAATGGGAATCATGAAAAGTTTTACAGCAAGTACTACTCACAAATTCCCTTACATGCTGTCAAGTATTTTCCAGGGCTGTCAAGAAATGCAGCAACATTGCTGTGCACTAAGCTTGCTGATAGAATGGTGTCATTCAGTAGAGAAAAGTTATTGTCTACTGTAAAGGGAAATCAGGTTAAGTTATCTTTACCTGAGAAAGAATTGGCTGGTCTGCAATATCTAGGAGGCTATGTTTTACATAATCTGCACAACAAAATAGCAAAATCAAAGAAAAGTGAACTTTCTGAGAGCCAGCAAGCCATGTCCTTTTTAAAAGCAGGAAAAGCAGTCAACCAAACTGAAAAAATCTCTCTAACTTTGACAGCATCTTTGGATCGTGGAGGTTTATGGACTATTTCAGGTGATGCTCAGGAAATTTTCTTGAGAACAGAGCATTATTTTAGAGTTAATACTTCGAATGCTGGATAACAACGCATCAACATAGCTGAAATAGTGGATAAATGTTTTCATGATGAGGAAATACTATCTAGTTGTAACTCATTATTATACAACTCTCAACTGAAAGGAGATAAGAAGGTTGTAAAGGATGTTCTCCATAGCATTTTAGGCTTATATGTAAGGGTTCGATCATTCTCTTTTGCTAAAGATATAATTGAAAAACATGAGATAAAGACAAAGCAGAACAAGGCAAAAGGCCTCAGAAAGGAAATTAAGAGGAGTACCCAAGAACAGGACATACCAAGAGGTCCTTGAGAGTACACAAAATACTCCCCACCCTTGTTTAGATTAGAAAGATTAGAAATGGTTTTTCATTTAAGAAAACTATTTAATGTTATTTTCAAATACTTCTGATACTTACATTTTCACATTGCCAATGACAAGTAATTCATAGCACAATTTCAATTCTAAATTGATATTAAATATTTCATTCTTGAACAAAACTATACCTGTTTTGTAATGTCTCTTAGGAATCTTGTCTATGCTATATTTCTGAATTAATATTCCTAAGATAAGACAGTTTTCAATTTAACCTATGAAAGAAAAAGAACTTTTCTTGCCCTGATGCAACAACACATAACAGAATGAATTTTTACAGGATTACTAGATTCCAGGTGATCTTTCTAGTGCTGGTATTTTTGTTTAGTTTTCACAATTTGCAAACTAATTTTTTTTCAGGCTCAAGAACACAGAACATGACAACTGAGAATAAAAGTCATTCTAGGAAATGAGATAATTTTCCCCTTATTTCATTTTAAATAGACACTGGACAGTGCTAGAAGATTCTGTGTTCTATACTTTTGAACTTGAAAGTTTTTTGAAATTGATTGTATCTGGCATTGGTGAATGATAGAGAACCAATGGAGATCAGTCGTGTAATTTGAAGTACTCTATTATGTTACTGTTTCTGCAATCATAGTTAGTAGAGGGGGTTCCCTCTACTAACTATGCTGCAATAAACAACAATAAAACAATCCAGTGATATAATCCTGATGTTTATACCTCAAATTAATTATTGATTGAATACTGTAGAGTTCATTCTTTCCTTTTTATCTTTCTGCTGGGTAATGGGTCATGTGTCACTTGCTCCCATGCTCTTTTCTTGTCCTGTCTTCCTCTGGTATTGCCACTCTGAACTGCAACTGCCCTTTGGATACTAATTGTGTTGGCATTGTAACCAAAGGTCTTGATATCAGGGTTGTCATTTCTTCTGCCAAGTTTTCTCTGGTTGCCAAAGTACTCGTCAATTGGATCTTGGCAAAACCTTTCAGTAAGAACAAACTCAATTCCCTCTCCCAGTAGGAACTTTGTTGCTTCAATTACAGAGTAAACTGTAATTTTTAAACCTTCGTAGGTTTGCCACGAAAGGAACATGCCAAGCATCTCTCCATCTACGATGGCCCTCGTCTTTCGGTGCAAGCAGTTTCCAGATACCAACACCTTTCGTCATTCTTGAGGTTCCACAACCAAAAACCGAATAGTTATCACCCGGCATGATGATTTATAAATAGTCAAACTACATATCTCTTGGAAATTCTTGATTAAACTAAGTTTGAAGCATAAAATACTTTAAAATTTCTCCTCGATAAAGTCACACTTCTCGAAAGGCAGCCACCATCTTGAAAGCGTGTGCACTGTCATAACCACGTGATCACAGTAAAACCATAACAACAAGTTACCCCTTTGAAGTTTGCCGGGTTTCCTAACCTGTCCCCCTCTACTAACTATACTAGAACAGAAACGTTAATCGGTGTAAAACAGTTGGTAGTTGAGCAAGATTTATGTATAACCCCATACTTCATTTTGCATACAGATATTATAAAGAAAACACTGGCCAAAAAGAATTATACCGGCTAAACTTCAGAATACCCGGCCACATCATTTCCATGTCATTGAATAAGAATAGTGTCTATTGTGTTATGCATCATTCTTCAAAGCCTCCCGACATATGTAAATGATGTGGAGACGTATTCTGAAGTTGCTCCATTATACCCTCAGAGTGAATGCTTTGTTTTAGTGGAGAATGGAGTTAAACGAAAATACTTCTAAACGTACTTTTGTACTTGTACAAAAAAATCAAAACATCGCATCAGCCGTTTAGCAGATCTGACCAAAAATTATGTTCAAATGCATATCAGTAATCGATCATTTCCAATTATATCTTAATTATAGCAAACAACATCTCAGTGCAGTTCAAGACTGTTTAATTTAACACAGTGCGCAGTGTCGGAATAAGGAAACAATATCGATAGTTATCAAGTGAGCTCACGTGTACATGCAAATTAGATGTCTTCCGTGCCCAGAAGCTAAATTTATCTCGAACCTTAATCGTTGACCTCGCGTGGTAACTTCGCTCTGAGAGAAACCCAACAATTTAATTATTTCTAGATGAACCAGATGGTTAGTACAACAAACCCACAGACGTCACACTTGCAAATACAACACAAGAAATTTCCCTGAATGTATTCGAACTATCTAGGGAGTGATCGACACGTACACGAGCAGTCTTCCGTGACTTACTTCTAACGGAAATCCGCCAGTCTCTGCTTTCTTTTTCTTGTCTCTACCTTTAGGTCCTGCTTGTCCCTTAGGATCCTTTTCCTCCATATTCATTTTTCCTACTTTCTCCTCAAGGCCGCTATCACTCGACATTCCAGACGCCTCTTTCACGACCAACGTGGAAAGTTATTAAAAATTTCAGCGAAAAATGATCGTGTACAATGCGCATGCTAAAAGGCCAATTCAACTGAAATTTCGTGGACTCCGACAAGATGGCGGATTGAACCTTTTGCAAATTTACTTTGTTTTGAATTTCGGTTACTTGCCACTTAAAATATTATATCCATTCTTCTTACCTCTAAAGGATACTCCACTGTATCATCAGTAGGTCTGATAGGCCCAGATCCACAGCAACAAAACAACCTCAGTGGTTTGCCATGTCGAAACACACTTTCGTAAAAGTCTTTAATTTTTGCCGTTGGTGGTCTCAAGATCGTCGAGGTGGTTTTCCGTTGCAATGCAACGGCTAGCGTCCTGATCATAATATCTTACAACGAGAGATGATGGCATAACAGGTACGACTGTCATCGATCAAGCGCTGAACTGACAAGCAGCAGGTTTTAGAGTACCATTATTAAACTTGTGTAATTCTCAGCGATATTTACGTTAACATCAAGAGCCGACACGTTCATACTCACTACTGACAATGTTGATGGAGTTTCGTTATTTTATCGAAAGCTGAATTCTTGCTTATTTGAAGTAATATCATCTAGATCCTTCCACCGACAGGCTTTTTTATCGCGGTGTTTTGTACTCTTTTGTAAACTTTGACGATGAGGACGTTCTTTCGCTCGGTACCAGTCTGCCGCTTACTTGAACGAGACGTAACGCAATGCTAATTATGGCCATGTACTAGTCACGCAGTTTAAAAGTTCTCGTTAGCCAAGTTTCTTTCGATATTTGATTAACAATTTTAAACGGACCCTATATCAGCTTAATAGCTTCTCATTGGAAAACCGACAGCGTCGAGGCAAGCGAACACTAAAGGGGTTAATAGTTGTTACTCGTTCGTTCCAATTTCGTTTAAAGCTGAATGGTAATCTACCTTAAAAATTCTTCCAATAAGTGAATAAGTGCATGGACCTCAAGCAATTTAAATAATCGCTTACTGGGCGTTAGGAATCTTCTATCTGGGTCGCCATGTGACCCTCTCCTCGAAATATGTCAAGGGAAGTCTCGATTACATAGGCCTTGAAGACCCACGTGCAGACAAGGTTCGAAGTAATCGGCGTGAGTGGAGTAGAACGACTTCCCAGTTGTTGGAAAATTCGACCCCCAGCGGACACAAAGCCTTTGATAAAATCCCTCTCTTCACTATGATTTTATTCAACACGATCAGCATAAAAAGAGCTTTAGGAAAAGAACATCGTTAGTGGCTGGCTTAAAAGGAGGGGGAAGGGGAAGTGGATGATTGGGAGCTTCTACTCCAGTGAACAGCCGAATCGTCAGGTTCTGGATCTGGTCTTTCATCATTTAATCTCTCTTTTTTTAATGTGGAAGTGGTGGGGGAAGTGTTCTTCAACCCTCGTGAACAAGACGGTCGTTCAATTATCCATACTACAGACATTGAAATAAGCCACCAATCTATGAATGGTAGTTATTATTCATGAACATTTAGAGGGTAAATCGCGACTACTAAACGAGACAACCACTCAACTAGGGAAATTGGACTTCATTTGTTCATTTTCAGCAACTGAGCTGTAACAACTTGATTCGCGTAACAAGCATACAGAAGGTAAAGAAAAAATATTCGCTATCATAAAAGAAAAAGTTACAAGTGAACGTCATCGATTCGAGAGGGCAAATTCAGACGCAACTGAATAAGAAGGAAGGTTGTGAGATTAATCATCTTCTTTCCAACAAGTAGTTTACTATTCTGGCCTTTTAAAACCGGCTCATGTATGTCGACTTTAATGGAAAGCATTCAATTTGTCTCGCTTTCCATTGACGCTTTCCACAAACACTAGATTTATAAAGAAGAAACAATAACCGTTAGAGACAACGTACTGCTAAACGAGGTTAATAAAAAGGGCGTTTTGAAGGTCCTGGAAATGGGACCGGAGGTGGCCCCGGTCTTTTTAAGGGAGGACGCATTCGCACACTTTCAAATTCTCCTAAAGAATGACGCCTTCTGTCAGGAGGTCCATAACCGTGAAATCTGTTTAAGTCATGTGGGCCTTCTCTGAATCCTTCGCGAGACCTAGGCGACCTCCCTGGACCTTCAAATGAAGTCCACAGGGAAGGGTCGTCTTCACGAAAGTCCACTCGATTAGGGTCACCACGGGGTGACACAGGAGGGCCTCTCCATCCCGGAGGGGGATGACCAGGGTGGTCATATGAGAAGTCCCATGGTCCTCTAACATGATCTCTGAACGGTTCCCTGCGATGTTCTTCCCAACGTTCGAACTCTCTTCTCCGCTCAACGTCATCCATCGTTCCCGGGTGCGTCACACGGTGTGGAGGAGGAGGTGCATCACCTCTGGGTATCTGCTCATGTGGTGACCGTCGGGAATCAGGTCGATGAACAGGAACTCCCTCAGTCGATAGCCTCTTCGCCATACGTGGGCCATTAGAAAATCCGTCTTCTATAGGCATCCCAGGTGGATGATGTTCGTGACGATGCTCCGGAGGAATAGACGTGGTCTCGAAAGGTTTGTGAGTTTGACCATCCCTTAAAGGACCTCTCAGAGAATGACCTTGAGGTACTTGATCAAGAGGTACATGCACAGACATCTCTGGTTGACCATCACGCCTTTGAATTGGTGGACCGGTACTATCCCTTCCCTGTTCAAATTGGGGACCATGAGCTTGTGGGAATGGTGCTCTCGGTCCAAATGGCGGTATTCCACGAGGTGACAAGTTGCCTGGACGATCAAAAGGTCGCTCCTGTGGGAAGCGCGGGGAACTCCCTCTCACTGAAGGACCTGGAAAATGTGGGCCGGGTCGGGAAAGATTTCCTGGTCGTGTCGCTTCACGTGTCTCAAGTGGCTGAGAATCAACGTGATCATATCTCCGACCAAGTCCTGTTTTATTTCCAGGCTCAGGCTGCATTTCCATCGGTCCTCCCATTTGTCTTTCTTCAGAGAAGTTCATAGATGATTCTCGTCCAAAATCCTCATTACTTTGGAGTCCTCTCTTCGATGTGCTTCTTGGTTCTGACTGTTGGAGATGTGCCAGCTCCGGTCCAACATTAGAAAGAGGTTGAGATTGGCCTTCATTGGGTGCTGGCCAAGAATGAACACTCTTTGGAGCGTTATCAACGGGAGGATCAAATGATGGCTGAGGTGAACTACCCACTTGTTCTTTCTGTTTCAACGTTTTTATAGAGTCACTCAGCTTTGGAAATAATGAGTCAATCAGAGAGAGAAGGGGTTTACTTTGAGGCGTATCAGAATTTTGCTGCGGAGCAACCAAAGGAGCCTCAGGAGTAGAAACAACTGTAGGAGCAACAGTTGTACATCTGACTTCCACATCAAACTGTTGCTGCATTTTTCTTCCTCTACTAAGCAACTGAGCCAATAGGTCAACAGCCCTGACTTTTTGTCCATTATCTTTTTTCACCAAGGCAGCATCCTGCCCTCCGAGCTGGTCAGCAGCAGAAGGGGTGCTGCTGGAAGATGATGACTCTGATACAATTGCTGGAACAAATGCTTTGGCTGCAGGCTGTGCTCCAGAAAGGCCTGATCCTGAGTTACTTAGAGCACTTTCAAAGAATGATTTGTTTGTCTGAAAACCAGTGTTGTCTTTTACGTCCACATCTCCAAGTGGAGCTGGTGTTGTTTCTGGTGTCTCATCACCTTCAACTAGATGTAACTCAGGTGATCCAACTGGTGACGGAGCAGACGCCTCTGAATCAGGCGACCCAATAATTCCACCTGCTTGTGAAAGATCTCCAATGGTTTGGTGTATCTGAGTTCCTGGGGCTGGACTTGTCATGACCTGAAGAGGTGCTGCAACTGTTGTTGCTGCAACCGCCAGGGGTGCTTGACTGTGTACAAAGCTGCTACCAAGTGCTTGCAAAGTTCCCATATTAGCTGGAAGTTGTGCATTCGGCCTAGGAAGTAACACTGCTTGACCTGCCATTTGTGGAAATGGCTGCTCTTGCCTTATCCCATGTCCTGTGCCAGGTAAGGGTCCTGACGGCTGCATCAACTGATTCTGAGTCATGCCAGAAGGAGGCCGTATTGGAGGAACTCCAGGTCTGAACTGAGGTCCAGGAGCTGGAAAAGGAGCCCCTTGTACCCCCATAAAAGGACGAATGACCACTCCGACTGGAGTTGGAACAGGAGGACCTAGTTGTGGCTGATGAGGCAAAATGCTTCCTTGTAGTGGCATTGCAGTACCCTGGTTTGGAGTGAGCAGTTGAGTGGGTGCTACACTGACAACTGGAGAAATTGCTGGAGTACTTTCCTGGGCTGTTGATTTTGCTGGCTGAGAATCAGAACTTTCAGTGGAGTTAGGTGTTTGAACATTGCTACCCTTGGCATCTTCCACACTCGCCTCCTCACTTGTCTCTGACTTTTCACTGTCTGAATCATCTTCAATTTCCATGTCAGCAACTTCAATGTTGTCAACAGTTGGATCGATGGGTTTCTCATCCTCCAGAGATTTGTTGCTAGGCTTCGTTCCTTCTGTTGGAGTTGATGGTGCTGATCCTTCTGAAACTTCGGGAAGGCCTGATGTGAGAAATGATGATTGTGGTGCTGTTACGGGTCCTGTTTTTGCCTTCTCTGCTTCCTTCTGAGCGAGCCTGTTCACTTTGCCATCAACTTTTTTCTTTAGTGATGTGAGGCGATTTCCAAAGGTCTTGTAAGCCTGAAATTTGAGATATGTTAAGAAAATTTAATTAGGCTATAGCAAATCATAACAACCCCACCAAAAGAAAAGAAAAACATAGATACACATTTTTGCCCACTGCACTTCTCAAGTAACCATGTTATTATTTCCAAATGTGAAACCATTACTTTTGATAAATTGCACACTTAACTACCCAGAGCTCACATACCAAAAAGATGAAACCATTTATCCTTTATGCTCAGGAAAAAACTTTCTTATACTGATTATCTACAAACTTTTAATACACTTATCAGTTGCTTACATCAGAAAAATATAAAACAAGGTGGGGCATTGAGTGTGGGTAACAAAACTCATCACAATGTTAAAATGTCCTAACATACTCTAGTTGTGGAATATCAGATATTGCATAAGCATATAGTAATTCTTAGAACAGTTTGTATATGAACTACAAGTGTTCAATTTTAAACAGTGTTACCATCGTACACTATAGTTTGATCAATCTACATCTAATATCTTTAGTACAGTCCAACCTCAATTATCCGGACCTCGATTATCTGGACTATTCGATTATTTGGACTTTTTTCTCTGGTCCCAATTTTTTCCTGAATATTAATTAGTTGTGATCATGAAAACTCAAAGTCACAAAAAGCCAAATAATCCTTTCAAAAGACTGTTGAAACAGCATATTATCCTGTGCACTTTTCAAAATTCAGACAACAGTGAGTCAAATTCACAGCCCGAATTCAGAGAGGATAACATTGCCAAGTCCATGGTCGAAGTGTTGGATATTGACCCTGTGCAGTTAATGTAGCTAAGATGAATGATGGACTTTGCAATGCAATCAAGCTACAAGTCTTTGAAGCAAACAAACATGCTTGAACATTTTAGACCTTTGTAAATACCTGAACTGAAATTTTTTATTTGTAAATACATACAGGCTGTGTAGATTTCACAATTAAAATGATGTTTTGTATACATTTCTATCTCATAAATATTCATATTTTCGATTATCTGGACTCTTAATTATGCAGACTATTTACCAAGGTCCCAATGAGTCCAAATAATTGAGGTTCAACCATAAGTAGAAAAGCTACATGTATATCACCTTCACGCTCAATTTAAAATTAACAGAAACCCTACAGTAGCCACTCACATGAACAATGACTTTAACTTCTCCATAGGCAACATCAAAGAAAGCTTCTCCATCTTCAAGTACTTTGATCATATTTTTCCTCTCTTCTTGCTCACGCCTCAGCATTTCTGAGAACTCTTGCAACTTAGAGGTAGCCAACTCATATTCTTCACAAAATTTACCACCACCTGTGCGATCTAAAAAAAACACAGGATGCACACAAGAATAAACCTAAGATGACAGAAATGATCAACACTGTGCTCCCCACAACAAAAGTCAATTGACCCTGTAACTCCAATGAGTGACCAATAAAAATATTCTCCTTACAATTTAAATACAATATTAAGCCGACAAGTAATGAGAATATAGAAAAATATCAATTAAGGGTCAAAGTGGTTGATGCAATACCAAATTCTCAAAACTAATAACGTAGGTGACAAATTACTCCTTAATTTTGGTGTGAAATTTCAGCAGTAATTTTTAATTTCACATGTGAAATTACAAAATTGCCATGGTAACATCTCTTGTATCTCGATCAGAGCCAAGATGGCGTCGAGACTTAAGACGGTGACCCTTGAAGAAGTTACGAAATTAAAAGCAGCGGTTGAAAATTATTAACAGACACGAAGAATTTGAAAGGTATTTTTGTGAACTCGGAAAAAAAACTATATTCTTCTTTATGTTCTCGGTTTTTGATAGAATAAACCAGTAAAAACAATTACAATTGTGTAATTTGTCACCCACAATATTAAAAGGTTAAAGGCTCAGGAAATTATCAGAATTTTGATGAAACACGTGTGAAATTATTTCCTAATTTCCCTCGTCGCCATTTGATTACACATACTAACATCATAAGAATTGTATGACAGACAGTAAGGAGAATTACTAATGAGATCTTGGGAGTGAATGGGTCGGCAGCGTTTCAGACTGTGCATAAGGATGTTTTTGAAGGACTCTCATTTTGCTATAGTCACTCAACAGAATCAAATAGTAATCTCTGATTAATCGTCAGCCATTCTAAAGAATTATAATTCAGCAGTATGGTTATAATGACAGTAACGTTTCTAAGGTCATTTCAACATAATTTATCAATCACAATATGGGAAACAATATGCCACTGCAAATTTTACAGTGATTAATGGTGCAACAGAAGTCAATAAATTATAATAATTATGATTATTATTATTAAAAACAATGATTCTGCATAAATTAAGCAGAGCCAATTGGTTATTAGAAACTGAACAAGCAAAGATGACAAAGGATTTAAAAAAATTCAGAGCACATTTCCTGTGATTGAATTAGTCAGTTTTGGGGAGGTGACCAAGGTGACAATAGTTATACCATCGAAGTATGTTAGCTTAGGTTAGGATAATCCTGAAATACTGCAGAATGTAACCACTAACATCAACAAACCTTTTAATTGGCGAACACTTTCCAGATCTGACGCATCAATCCTCAATGAATTCAGTTGAGATTCTTTAAGAGTAACTTCTCCTTCAAAATCCCTTAAAGCTTTCAGTGCATCTACCAGTTTAGAAGGCTGAAAAGGAAAAGGATCTTAAGAAACACTAAAAAAAAATGATTATTTAATCCTTTACAACCTAACATCAGTGTATACAGTGCACATTCTCTATACTGTTTTCTATACATTTCCTCAGGTGCTGACAAGGAGAATTTCTTAAACAATCGAGAGCTGCTTTAGTTGGTGATCATCCCATTAATTCTCATGACCTGGGTGTTTGATTCATGGGTGATACTGTAAAGAGAAATTTAATGCTAGTCAATCCTAGGAGTCAAAAAGGGTTAAATTTGAACAAGATGCCTTTAGATTCAACACATACCATATTTATCTGTGTATAAGTCGACCCCCCATTTTCAACGTAAAAAAATCGGATTTTTCATAATTTCTAGTAAAGAAAAATTCAAACCGATAGAAATTTCCCAAATGGCTGATCTCTCGTTTCTGATAATGTATTGAAAACACGGTGAATTAAAAAAAAAACCGAAGGGCAAAATGTGACCATGTGCTGTAAAGTTTAGTAGCACTTGTTTTACATCACCACAATTTACGATTTAAGCATCTATGAGCACTTTGATTTACTGAAGTAATTTACCATATTTTGTAAATCCCTTTGAAAATGAAATCTTCATGCATTTAAAAAACCTTTTGAAAGGAGATATTGTAGACCAAAGGAACACCGAAGAGCTTTAAAGGATTGCTTGATGAAAACTCACCGCCATCTTGGAAACTACACAATAACATAATTGGTCTATGTGCATAACAAACAAGACTGCACGAGTAAACAGCATTTGCCAGGTCACTACGCTACTGTGATCGTTTGATGAAAACGAGGATTCAGCACCGAAAACAGCAGCAAAGCTGTAAGGAAAAATGTCTGCTCTACAGATTAGAGGATACAATAGAAATTTGCCCCACTAGGTTTCTGTTGAAGCCATGTAAAATTTGTTATTTCAAATTTTTTCCTTGATGAAGAACGCACTGAAAACTGACGAAACTCGAACACAATTAGGACTGGTTTCATAAACTCGGTTTTCCTAATGGACTTCAGGCAATTTTTATGCTAATTTCTTGGATTGTTTGGGTCAGGTCTTTGTCTATGATCCGTGTATAAGTCGAGGGTGATTTTTTGGGCTGATTTTTCGGTCTTAAAGGGTTGACTTATACACAGATAAATATGGTACTTCACACAATCTAAGAAAATCATAATTCGGTGAAGAAGAAGAAAAGCAAAATGTTAGAGAGGACAATGAAAATATTCAAATTCTATATTCAATATACATTTTTCAGAATTTCGTAGGTTTATTAAACCTAGCACATTTTGAAAGCAACTGCACATAAAAATGTTGTTATACATAGCACTAACAAATCTCAATCCAAGCCAATTAACATAACCAAAAAGAAAAAAGAAAAATAGGAGTCACTTAGATTTCCAGATGATGAAAGCTGTTCCTTTTTTCTTTTACAGGATGACTGGGCAATACTGTTTTGAAAACAGCTCTTAACCCTTAAACTTCTGAGGGGGATGAACACTTAATTTCTACTTACCATATCACTTCTAAATCACACATTATAGTGATGGGAATAAAGAAATGATCAACAACTAAAGAAGCTCGAGGTTGTCAAACAAATTCTTCTTATCAAAAGGTATAGAGAATAAAATAGTACGGAAAATACACTTATAGACACTGGAAAGTGAAGAGTTATGGTGAGAAAAAATCATCTTTGTTAAAATGATTTAAGCTGTTACCTTCTAACATACAAATTGTCTGAGGATCTGATCATACATGCAAGAGTATACAATTGAGAGGTCATTCTTCAACTGTTCTAACCCCGAGTATTTTCAACCATTACCAACTGTGGTCATATCAGGTTTTAAAGATAAATCTTAGATTCCCATTTTCTAGCAGTAAGTCCTCTCACCTTAAAATCTGCAGGGGGTAACCTCTTTTGCTTTGGTGATTTCACTACCTTTTCCTTCTCTTTTTCAATAGCTTTCTCTTTCACTTTCTCGCTTACAATGGTAACATCACCTGAGGCTATAACACATAAAAAGTCTATTTTAGGAACACCATTAACTGTTATTTATAAAAGCTGAGTTAAACACACATTTTGATTAGTTCTTAGTTTTAAAATAAATCACATAGATCATAGATTCAATGTTGCAAGGGCTATGTGTAGCACTAAATCACAGGAGACATCACATGTAGTAAGGACAGCAGTAACGCACTCGGCTGCCCCCTGTGTGCCACTATTTCCTTCTCACCACATTTTGATATCATCAGTGACATATCACTGCACAGACACATGAAATATATTCATTAACTAAAGACAAACATAAAATCCACAAATTCAGTTCATTTTATATTTTTGTCATTGTTGTATGAATAATTATATATAGATACTCCATGGGATAAAAATTCTCCCCAAGTCCATTAAAATAACAAAACAAAAATGCTTTCCAGACAAAAGTACACTGTATCTTACATCTTTCAAGCATAGTTTTGCTCTCATTAAATTTGGTTGAGACAAATGAAGGCCTAACATTTAATGATAGTTAAGATATAGCTGCATATTTTGTTACTTTTGCTTACTGTTGAAGTGTGAATAACCTTACCTAGCTTGCTGCGTAAAATCTCGAGGTAATCCTTCTCGAACAGTTTTCTCTCTTCCCAAATTTTTATAACTCTTTCCACGCTTCCTTTAATAGAACTCTCGCTGAAAGAAAATTTGGAAGAAAAAATTGACCCTAGATGATCTTTCACGGCACCCGCACTTAGTATGCGTGTAATGCAATGATTAAAGAACACAAACAATCCATTTGTACGAACCTCAGAAGAACCATAGCCTCTCGCAAAATCTTCGTAAATGCATTACTGAACTCTTTCCCCTTCTTGCGGCTGTTTTGAAGAACGTCATTCGCCAAGTAAAACAAAACCAAACGGCGGTCAGCTTTTGAAGCTGCAAAGAAACGAAAAATCATTTGGCGATTAACCCAGTGAGCAGCTGGTCGGAGACTCGCAGAGGGTTAATTTTGAGATGCCATTGCCCTCGAACGAAAATTTAAAATTAGGTGGCTCGATCAAAGTGAACATCTTCGGTAAAGGAATACCTTTCCTGAGCTGGTCCAACCACACACTCGCCATATCGTTGGCATTCTTTTTGTGATGAATCATCCACAGCGAAACTGTTTGCACACTGTCCTGCGCGGACGACATATTCTGCAGCTTGCGTTCAAACGCTTTCCGATTGAGAAGCGCCATGTTGCTGCTTGATGGGTTCTTAAGCATGCGTTGAAATAGAATCCGCTGACAAGTTTTCGGTCTTCTCAGAGGAGGGAAGGGAGGTGCTATTACTTGAACAACAAAAATGTGACTCATTACCAGACCTCCAGCTGGCGCACGGTGGTATCAGAATGAATCGTACCCTGTAGCCCAGATGAGGAGAGTGTATGCATATAGGCAGCGAAAAAAGCTTTGTGCAGTATTCGTGGACTGTTAAAGCAGTGCCGCGTTTTGATCACATGCTGACCACTCCTTAAGGATCATTTAAAAAAGAAAAAACAATGTGACACATGACTAACCTGTGACCTCATCACAGGACGGGTTATCTAAGATGGCGGACGGTAAGATCGAACGAACTTGCGCAAATCCCTCTAATGAAGAGAAAATGAAAAAATTATTCGATCCTACTGAATATCAACACACAAGATACAATCCTCTTCGCGATGATTGGATTCTCGTTTCTCCGCACCGAATGAAAAGACCGTGGAAAGGTCAAGTTGAAAAACCTCAAGAGGAGGAGATTCCTCGCTGGGACCCCAAGAATCCATTATGTCCAGGAACAGTACGTGCCAGTGGCAAGGTAAGCATTGGCATTGGAAAGCTCAGAAATAACTAACTTAGTTTGACGAGAATACTGGAATGACTCTGCATGGTCTCTCTTTACCTAAAGAACTTGTATATATAGGAGCAAGAGCCATTGGGAATCCATCCCTTCCCTCTTTTTCCCTCTACTCTCCCTTCCCCTCCTACTTTGACAAGAATACTTAAACAACTCTGGTCTCTTAATATAGAGAACATGTACAGGAGTGAGAGCCAGTGGGAATCCACCCCTCCCCTCTTCTCCCCTCTGCTGTCCCCTCCCCCCCTTACTTAGACAAGAATACTGAAATGACTCTGGTCTCTTAACCTAGAGAACATGTATAGGAGTCCGAGTGAGAGCCATTGGGAATCCACCCCTTCCTTCTTTTCCCCTCTGCTCTAATTATTCCCTCCCCTCCTATTTTGACAAGAATACTGAAATGACTCTGGTCTCTTATCCCAGAGAACATGTAAAGGAGCAAGAGCCATTGGGAATCCACTCCTCCCTTCGTCTCCCCTCTGCTCTCCCTTTACCCCCTTACTTAGACAAGAATACTGAAATGACTCTGGTCTCTTAACCTAGAGAACATGTATAGGAGTGAGAGCCATTGCAAATCCACCCCTCTCCATCTCATCAACAAAAAGTGTCCATTGTGACTGTAATTACCTCCAAACTCTTTCACAGTTAAGATCTGTGCTTTAACATTTTTTTATTTATATTTGTATGCCCTTGATTTTTGTAAGGAAAATCCAGACTATGACAAGACCTATGTGTTTGAAAATGACTTCCCTGCCCTGCTACAAGAGGAAGCACCTTCACCAGGTAAAGTGTAGACTGTGTAATAGTATCAGTGGTAATTCAAATCAACAATTGAAGACCTACAGAAAAGAGTTTTTATATATTTTCAGCTTTTGGCACAACATCAGACTGAAATTTTCACAGTTTTATGCCTTTTTATGACTCTTCATCAAGGGTAGTCCAGAAATTATTGATACAGGGTACAAAATTACCACTTACCCAGTCCCTTTAAGGACTTCTTGCCCAACCCCCTAAAGGACAGTCATTATTTATAACCTGAGATGGAGGTGAGGATTTTGAGAGATTACACTGTTTTCATGGGAAAGGAAAGAGGGGAAAAGTCATTGCCAACAGGGCATTAAGGGGGGGGGACTACAGAAAAGTGACTGCCAATGAGGGGGGAGGTAATAAGGATATTAAAAAGTCTTATGAGGGGATCAGGTAAAATTTATTGTGATGCAAACAAAATCATCCAACTTCTCCCTCTCCTCTCTTAGGCAATAAATAATGACCGGTCTCTTAGGAATGAAATAGCAATTGAATAGAAATATGTTATCTTGTTTATGCAAGAACTTTGATGTCATGCTAGAAGTAAAAAAGAAAAATCCACTGGTCTTATTAGGGGCTAGTGGTGATCTGATGGTGTGCAGGTAAATCTAACTTTCCATCTTCTGTTAGGTCCTTCTACTCATCCCTTACTGAAATGTGAACCAGCTCAAGGAACATGGTAAGAGAATTTATTAGTCCAGCACCATTGAAAACAACAGTGTTACATTGTTTTTCCTTCAAAATGAGACCCAGTCAATCAAAAGATCAAATTGCAGAGAAGAGTGAGGTAATCTATAAAAAACTTTAAATTTAAACTGCTCAACTTACTTGAAATTTGATCCATATTTGTTGGCCCTCTGTGTTGTTTCATTTAGTAGAGTGATGTGCTTCCATCCATGGTCTGATCTCACTCTTCCTCTTATGTCTATTGACGAAATCTTGGAAGTCATAAGAGAATGGATGAGACAGTACCAGGAATTGAGTAAAAGCTACCGCTGGGTTCAGGTAAAAATCTCAAGATAAAATTAATATTAATTTCAAAATTTTTTAATAGGATACCTTAGTATTGAAAATGATTCCAAGCCCTTTTCTTTCCCAAGATCTTCTCAGGAATTCTCCTTACTGTCTGCTATGCAATACTTATCATGTAAGTTTGGAGAATTTGGTATTGGATCAATGAAAAATACTCTTGTGGATAGTTTTCTTTATTCTCAACACTTGGCTGCTTGATATTGTGTTGATGTTGTTAGGAGAAATTCTGTCTTGATCACTCTTGGGAGTTAAAGGTTAAAGTTAAGATTTGTCAGCATGAATGGAAATAGTTCATATTCCTCAGGAATAATTTAATAAGCCCCATGACCCCTTGATGTTTCCTGGTTCAGTGTTGATTGACGTTTTCTTGCAACTCAATCACTTGTCTTGTGGGCTTGGTCAAGTAGTTATTTACCTTCCCTTCCTCTTATCCTGGGGGGGGGGGGTTCTCTCAATGCCCCTCAGTTGTTTTTTAACTTAGATGTCTTAACAGACTCACTGGTTGGTTTTCTTGTCACTGAGGTGCACAGGGAGATGCAAGGAGGATAATTTAAGTATAATTTTTGTGGGAGAGAAAGAAAGAGATAGATTGTAGTTATTTTGAAATTGGAATTTTGCAGGCATCACCATGTTTGACCCTATCAGTGATACTTTACAGTTGACTCCATTAACCTTGGGACTTCTGTGATCAAAAGAGCTACTTTTTGATGATAATAGTGAAAACCATGTGACCTTATACAACCCAAAAAAGCACAGCCATCCAGTTATCTATATAAAAAGTATGCCTTGTTTTATCCACCATTTTATTGATTTGTATTTAGTCTAATTTGAGAGTGCTAATTTGTAGTTTATGAGGTTAACAAAAACAGTGCAGGACAGACCAGGATCCTTTAATTAGGTAATGGTTCATTAACTGTAAGGTATTGCTTTGCATCAGATATTTGAGAACAAAGGTGCTGTTATGGGATGTTCTAACCCTCATCCTCATTGCCAGGCAAGTCACCTTTTTCTGAGCCTTTATTTTTATGTGCTGCTATTCAAAACCCTAGTATGGAGATTCTCAAGCACAATGTTGACAAGACAATTTAGTTTTATCAACTGATATAAATTGGTCATTGTAGAGGGTTTCTAAAACTGACATTTCGAGCGTTTCTAAAACTGACATTTCAAGCATTAGTCCATCATCGGAGCACAGGATGAGGGGCTAACACTCAAAATGTCAGCTTTAAAACCTCTCTGTGGTGGCTAATTTACTTTATAACATAGTTAGCAGAGCCATGCAATCAAATTCAGTATATGTAAGCATGCTCAAAATCCTGATAGGGCATGCTGATAGCATTAGCAAATCACTTTGCCAGAAATTTTTTTTTTCGCGCAAGCGGCCATTGTTAGCGCAAGGAAAAATAATATATTTCATCACAATAATAGATACAAACAGAGACTCGGCCCACCAGTCCCAAAACAAAAACAGTTTTCCAACCTTTTCCCTTGGGCTAGAGTTCTTGAATGAGGCAGAAAAAGAGAAAACAACGGAAAAGGAGACTCTGCATCAGCGCCGTCACAGAATGTCACATTTCACTTCACTGTCAGGCTATGTTATGAAACAATTGGTTCATGCTTTTTTTTAGCTGTGCACTATCGAGTTATGGAGCACGTGGAAAGTTTGGAGGGCACTCAAGAAGCTAGAGTTGCCCTCGGCTGTTGCCTCGGGCAACTCTTATGCTTCTTTCATGCTCTCCAAACTTCCCATGTGCTCCATAACTCGATAGTGCACGCTAAGGCATGAACCAATTAAATATTATATCAATTCAAATGACATTAGATTTTGTTAGACATTTAAGAATAAACACTAGCGAGAAAAACACACAACGTTTCGATGACTCCATGTCATCATTCTCAAGTGAGAAGAGAATAAAAATGAATAGTTAATTTATACCGTACGAAGGTGGCAAACGTAAAAAGTTTAAAATATTTAAATAAATAATTGCGCGTGTTAAGTTCATAAATGTAAACTATTAAATAAATAGTATCCCGACCACCTCATCAATTCCACCATCTCTCACTTTGTCACCTCAGTTAGGTCGGAAAACCCTGGAGTGCAAGCTCAATTATCCGTCAACGAAAATGCTGTTCACCGAGTGGTTTTGCCTTTTAAAGATCAAAAGTCAGCTGACGCAGTGAAAAGGCAATTATCAGATCTAAGCAACAAAATCGATCACACCCTTCATCCCGTGTTCAAGAGTCGCAAAATCTGTGAAGATCTCAGAGTACGTGAGCCTAAACCTCCTATAGTTAGCCAACAATGCGTTGTATATAATTATAAATGTGATCTGTGTGATGCAGAGTACGTCGGGTACACCAGCCGGCATTTACATCAACGTATTAATGAGCACCGTAATTCGGCCATCGGCAAACATCTAAAGAACGACCACGGCCTACAAACCATCGNATCCGTCCATACACTTCACCATGGAGCTAGCATCTGGAAACAAGTTACCTTTTGTCGGTATGGAAGTGCTCAAGAAAGGCTGTAAACTAGAAACTAGTGTTTATCGGAAACCAACAAACACAGGCCTATTGCTTCATCACCAGAGCCACGTCGATAAAAGGTACAAGAAATCACTACTTAAGACCATGTTGAATCGTGCATTCCGCCTGTCGTCCACATGGGAGTCCTTCAAATCTGAATGTGATCATCTAAAGATGATGTTTACAAACCTCAAGTATCCCGACCACCTCATCAATTCCACCATCTCTCACTTTGTCACCTCAGTTAGGTCGGAAAACCCTGGAGTGCAAGCTCAATTATCCGTCAACGAAAATGCTGTTCACCGAGTGGTTTTGCCTTTTAAAGATCAAAAGTCAGCTGACGCAGTGAAAAGGCAATTATCAGATCTAAGCAACAAAATCGATCACACCCTTCATCCCGTGTTCAAGAGTCGCAAAATCTGTGAAGATCTCAGAGTACGTGAGCCTAAACCTCCTATAGTTAGCCAACAATGCGTTGTATATAATTATAAATGTGATCTGTGTGATGCAGAGTACGTCGGGTACACCAGCCGGCATTTACATCAACGTATTAATGAGCACCGTAATTCGGCCATCGGCAAACATCTAAAGAACGACCACGGCCTACAAACCATCGGCGACCTGACCAAGCATTTCAACGTACTTAAAAAGTGCACCGGGAAACTGGACTGTTTAGTTCATGAAATGCTTTTCATAAAGAAGATGAAGCCCTCTTTGAACAAACAATCGGATTCCATACGCGCGAAACTATTTATTTAATAGTTTACATTTATGAACTCAACACGCGCAATTATTTATTTAAATATTTTAAATATTTTAAACTTTTTACGTTTGCCACCTTCGTACGGTATAAATTAACTATTCATTTTTATTCTCTTCTCACTTGAGAATGATGACATGGAGTCATCGAAACGTTGTGTGTTTTTCTCGCTAGTGTTTATTCTTAAATATATCAATTCAGTTGGTAAAACGATAACCCTCACTTTAATCCCCTTCATGCAATACTGACAGGCAGGTGAGATTGAAACCAAATGGAGAACCTCACACCTACAAAAACAAAAGACAGGTCTTTTAATCTATGGTGTCAGAATTGTTAGTGGTAAATTAATCGAAAACTTATTAAGAAAATCAGGGATGTTCTATTCAAGTAACATACTGCACTTTCTATTGGGTTACTTGTCTGTCATTATGACAGCAAAGAGATAAAAATGAAACTTTTGCCTTGTTCTTTTAACATTCCACTTGGTCTCAGATGATGTAAACCAGGACAAAGATACATCCTATTGCTTAAAATTGAGTGATAAATTAAATGGATTGGTCATTGACAGGAAAAATCCTTTCCATTGCTTCATTTAAGATCTGGGCAAGTTCCTTTCTACCAAATGAAGCAGCAATAGAGGTAATAATTTATTTGAAAACAGTTGTGCCCTATGTATTTAGATTTAAGGGACAGATGTGTAAGTTGTATTGTAACAATAAGAACATTCAATTTTATACCTATTTTAGGGTGTTTACATTTTTTTGCAAAGAAGTAATGATATTGAATGGTGCATCTTGTGGCATCTTATTGCTGAAAATCAATAAGACATATTGTGGGAGAACTTTGTGGTGGTTTTTGTTTTGTTTTGTTTTTTTTCAATATATTGTTTTTGTCAGGAGAAATTACTTTCTGATCACCCCTGGGAATTTTCTACAATGCTTTCTCCTTCAATGCTTAAAATGGACCTTTAATTAATGGTAGCAAGATTCATTACTGCAATACAAATCGCGACAAATGCAGATTTGAAAGATTAGAAGTTCATTGGGAAAGTGGGAGTAAAAGGGTGAAAGTTATTTGAAAAAGTGTAAGCAAGATTTCAATGGACATGTCAGTGGTTATTTTGAATTTTGTTTTTTCTGTTTATGGAAGCATCTGACACAACAAGAATATCAAGAGAAACATAAAGTTCCAATGCTAGTTGAGTATGCTAGACTGGAAGCAGAACAGAAGGTTTGTTTTTGGTTTTAAACCCATAGTTGTCCAGGCCAGTATGGATGCAAAGAATAAGCGTAGCTTTTTTTTAAGTTAACTTACTTCAAAAGCCATAACTTACAGTATGGATTGTGTAACTATATTATCAAGTTTTCTACTTTAAAAAAAAGTGAGATGTGTATCACATCAGTTCTATGGAGCAATAGGTAATGAGCTAATGTATAAAATTTGGGCAACTAATTGTGAAAGAAAATTTGACTCTGATATGACTTGTATTTAAAACAACAGCACTGACTTCAACTGCTTTAGACAATCAGGATTTGGACCTCATGGTTTGAAATTGATATTGTTTCTTAAAATTTGCAAAAGGAAAATATTTGTGCAGAACATTAATAGAAGGTCTTACCTGTGGGTACTGTCTTCCAATTTAGGTCCGTATTGTTGTGGAAAATAGAGACTGGATTGTAGTGGTACCTTATTGGTATGTAACTTTATAAGGAGAGATTGTAGAGTTCGATCTTCGCCTTACATGTTTATTTTCATTTCACTTTAAGCACAGTTTCACAAGTCTGTTCAAACATATTAAATGTATATCTATTTCAAGATGCATATGAAGTCGTTATCTGGCCTAGCTCACCAATAAGCCTTCTGTAGATCAATGTTAGAGCATCAGAAGGCAGAATTGATAAGTCTTTGACTCAGTTCCTTCATTTCTAAGGGACTCAAAAACTAACTAACAAGTGAAGTCCATGCTGCCATACATCTGTTTAGTAACAGATCACAGATGACATCAAAATGTGATAATTGAGAACAAAAAAGTGGCATGCACTCAAGGAGTTGCTGAGGGAATCACTGAATGATGTTCTCACCACATTTTGACTTCTTCTGTGATCCTGTTACTCTAAAGACCCATGGAATCTACTATTTTTAGACGATAAAAAAGCAAAATGTTGTTAATGGTGACGTTGTCTTTGTGTCTGACCTCCAATAGATCACAAGTGAGAATTAACCAATAAAAAAAGTGTGACTTCTCTTATATTATTGGATAACTGAGCTCAAAATTTGCCCTTTTTCTCTTTATATTTATGTACACATGGCTTTTGACTTTTACTGATTGTAGGTTGCCTTTTACTGATTGCCCTCTACTGTCACTGTGGAGGCGCAGTGGCCTCATGGTTGGTGTGCTTGACTCCGGATGAGTGGTCTGGGTTCAAGCTCTGGCCGGGGACATTGTGTTGTGTTCTTACGCAAGACACTTTACTCTCACAGTGCCTCTCTTCACCCAGGTGTTTAAATGGGTACCGGCAATTTAATACTGGGGGTAACTTTGCGATGGACTGGCATCCCATCCAAGGGGGAGTAGAATTACTCCTAGTTGCTTCATGCTACAGAAACCTGAGTTAAGCACCGGCCTGATGGGCCACTAGGCTCGTAAACAGACTTTACCTTTACCTCTACTGTCACTAAGTTATAACTTTCTTTCATATTTTATGTACTGCAGTTGTTATTAAATTGAACCAATATTAATCACTTAACAGGGCAACTTGGCCTTATGAAGTTCTGCTTCTTCCAAGAAGACATGTTCAAAGATTATCAGATCTCACAGAAGAGGAGCAGAAAAGTAATTGTAATTTCTAGATACCTTATTTTGGATCAACCAAGCTCAGTTTTCAGACAAGAAAGATGTGTTAGGTGATTGGCACAATTGTGAATCTCAGCTCAGATCTTCACTTTTCCTGATTAGATGCTGTGCTACTAGTTAAGCTAGAGGGAGCTTGTGAGGGACTTCAGGGCCACAGGGGTTTATTAAGAGCTGGAAACCAGCAAAATTTCTCATGTATGTGGAGTAAAACAGCCTCTTATTTTCTCTGATATTAACAGCATTAGAGCAAAGATGAATTAGTTCCTTTAGCTGCTTGTACCTTGGCAGTTTTGCTGTCTACTTTAAAACTTTTCAAAACCCTGAGGTCATAAGTTTCATATGAAGTCTTTGTCACATGATCTACTTTTATGATCATGGGATGACAGATGGTAACTGTAAATGTACCTTAAATGTAAATTTTAGCATGTGGTTGATTAAACAATTTTGTTTAACATTTGTCTCAAGTGGGGACGAAGAAAAAGGTTCATGAGTGTTGTTCACCATGCAATGAATTCCAAGGAGTACAGTGATAGAGCATTGTACCCTCAAAAATCCTAAGATCGGGAGTGAGCCTTTTTCTTCATCCTTTACTTATTACAAACAGTTTGTATAGATTGTGTTTAAAAATCATAAAGATCCCATTCAGATTATATTCTTTTTATTGGCTGAAAAGTATTGCAGTTCACATCCAATAGTTGTACAATGTAATCATAGATGTGGGGTTATATATTAATTACCAGTACCTTCTGTTGAAATTCTTAAAAAATGGAGTTGTTTCCAACTTTTGTTGCAGATCTTGCAGATGTAATGAAGAGACTACTGACTAAATATGACAATCTTTTTGAAGTTTCTTTCCCTTACTCAATGGGTTGGCATGGTATGTATACTATCAAGTACTCAACTCTTCAAGTCTCTGGAAACCTTTAGGGCCAGCTATTTAAACAAAGTTAAGCATTCTAAACTAACTTGAATTTAGCTGAATCTTTTATCTGAACATTTATTGTTGTAACCTCTCCTATAAAATTCATACAGCATCCAGCAAAAACAGGTAATAATATTTTCAAACTTAAACAGGAAAAAGTTGTTATCTTGATTGAACACCAAATTCTTGTAACTAATTTACAAGGAAATGTGATGCAGCTAGTAGGGAGAATTACAGTAACAATCCCTTCTTGGGAGTTAAAGGATTACCAGTAATTCGTTTCTATTGTTCCATACTGACAGGTGCACCAACCGGTAAACAGGACACAGACTGTAGGTAAAACTTGCCAGATTTTCTCTGACAAATAATAAATAGCAGGAAAACTATCTTAAGCTTCTCCTGAACAGAACAGGTTTTGAGGAAAAGAGGCATGAAGTTTTTAATTATTCAATCTTTTTTTAATGAATCTTGTTGATATACCAGCCCACCTTTGTTGAGTCAAAAGCATGCAGGTTGTTGAGGGGGACCTGATTTCCTTTGAAGATGGCAAAGACTTCTGCAGACATTCAAAACCCTTCCAGATATACATGTATCCTATAAAGTTTTGACATAGCCCAGTGCACTATCCCCTTGAAAATCATATTGGGAAGATGAATGATTCTTTGTAAAGCTTTCTCATTTCTTGGACCAGTTTTACCTTTTTATTCTATGTGTTTCTCTAACATGTGTCAGTCAACACATATATAATGTTATAACTTTTTCTGTTGGTGACAAGAGACTCTTGTGCCACAGGCATAAGATTTGGCAGGTATAGGGCTTCTAAGAGATTCATGTCAACTGAAATCACCTTGAATTAGATAGTAAGAAAATTTTGGCACCTTTTCTAAACTAACCAGGTATCCTGTTCTTTTTTTTTTTTTTTTTTTTAATCACAACTTTTACATTGAATGGTAATAAATGAAGATGATGATGATTTTTATTGTTTATTATTATTATTACTATAATTGTTATGATCATCAAACATTTTTGCTTGTGCGCGATCTGGTGATATCTGAGAACATCACCCAGGCAAGTGATATTACCCAATTTTCAAACCTTGCATCCACTACTATAAGTCTTCGTTTATACTTTAACTTAAGATGAGAAAGCATTTTGTGGTTGTTACAGAAGGAGGGAAATTTTTTTTTTGTCCATTAAGTCTTATCAGGGAACACTCAAAAGAAATGATCCCCTGTGGCATACAGTGAGCTGATTGTAAACATTTTTTCACACATGCTGCCAAATATTTGAAGGATAATAAACACAGTAGCCTCTATTTGGTGCAAAAATATGCTTGTACAGTCGAACCTCAATTATCCGGACCTCGATTATCCAGATTTCTCGATTATCCGGACTTTTTTTCTGGTCCCAGTGTTTTCATGAATAACCATTAGTCATGATCAAGATCCGTCGCTATATTCTTTTGAAAACTACAGCATTGAAAAGTGAAGTAAAGGCCATTTTCTTCTTTAAGACGAAATGACATACTTCAACATTTTTCCGCCAATGTTAAAACATTTTCATGAATTTTAATTGCTAATACACACATGTAGAGGTATTCACGTAGGACAGTGAAGATGTAAACCATATCTTTTCCAAAACGATTTTCAAATGTTTTGTTGCAAGATTAAATATCACTTTCTTAATTTAATCAGTTTTATTTCTCATTCTAATCAGTTTTATTTCTCATTAATATTCATATTCTCAATTATCCAGACCCTCGATTATCTGGACTATTTCGTCTGGTCCCAACAAGTCCAGATAATCGAGGTTCAACTGTATGTTTGTCCTTGGAAATTATATGTTCCTTGAAGCTCACAGTTTTCCTCAAGCTACGCTCTCTGGAAACTATTTGCATCTTGGATCAGATAATGTCCACAGATAAATATCCAATTGGGGCATGCATATTTTAAATAAATGCAAAGTAGCGTCTATTGTTTATTTGTCAATAGGCCTTTTGCAGCAAAGCCATCACGTGACCTACTTTTCATCAAATTATGGGCTATAACTTAACCGAATTCAGAAAAGGAAAAAGCATTTCAAAAATAACAAAATGGCCAAGTTTGAGGCCTCCATTATTCAAAAATGAGATTTGATGACACTCTGAATTTTTTAATAAATAAGAAGGTTTATATGGAAAAAGTTGCTGGAGAGCAAGGCCTTGCTCTCCAGCAACATTTTCCATACAAATCCTCTAAATTTTCCGAAAGTTCAAACCGCTGTAAAAACAGTGCTCTGTAATTCCCCGGGCCCAAACTTGGCCGTTTTGGTATTTTCGATATGCTCTTTCCATTTCTGGTATTCTTCAAGTTGTATCCCATAATATATAATTATCTAAAATTGATCAGGTGACCCCAGCTGCAAAAGGCCCATTGTTATAACCATTATTATTATAATTATAATCATTACTGTTGTTGTTGTTTTCATTCTTCATACTTTTGTTGAGGATAATTAAATGTAAAAGTTAGTTACTTGTAATCATTTCTTTTTTCATGAGAAAATTATTATTAACTACTTCATTTTGATCTGATTTTAGTCACTGGCAGTTGCATGCACATTACTATCCTCCTTTGCTCCGTTCTGCCACGGTAAGACTTAGTCTAATCTCATTTCATGTACTATTTCAAAAATGAGTGGATCTAGGAGGGAGCTGCAGGCAGTGCACACACCCCCTCCCCCTCAAAAGATGACAGGCAGCTTTTTTAATACAAGGGTCACTTTATGTTTATGTCTAATCATGAGCCTCCTTCTCAGTTGTTCACTTTTAAAATTTATTTACGTCATCTGTTAGTAAGGTTGTTCCTTAGTGGTACACCTCTACCTAAGAAAAGTCTGGGATATTCAATACATTAATAGTCGTAAACCAATCTTGCAGGTCAAAAAATTCATGGTTGGCTATGAAATGTTAGCTCAGAGTCAAAGAGACCTGACTGCAGAGCAGGTAATTGATCCAAAGTTTATTCATACAACTGGTTAAGTACAAAATAAAGTGGCACAACAAAAGAAAACAGCTTATTGTGTTGCTTCCTGACATGTTAACTTTTCTAATATAGGCAGTCATGTTTGGTCATAAGCCTGATTTGCTGTCCTGGCAATACATATCTTGCTCTTGGCGAGCTCGTGTTGTAAAGCCCAGACTAGCCATGTGGGGAGGTCAAGGGTTCAAGCCCCAGACTGGACCAACAGTCAGGGTCTTGAATAACTGAGAAAGTGCTGCCTTTGCTATGACATCCACAAATGATTAGACATTCTAGTCTCTTCGAATAAGGACGATAATCCATAGGCCTGTCCCCTACTCCTTCTCTGTACTTGTAGGTGAAAATTTGAAGAACCCACGCACTTTTCACAAAGATTAAGGAACATGGCTACTGTTACTTGTTGTCTGGCCTCGTTATTGTTTGTAAAGGCCCTTATTTAAACCAGCTTTAAAGCTGAACTGGGCCAGCCTATTTAAATATAACAAATAGATAAATAAAAACACCTTGTCTCTTTTTGACATTTGGTTTGGTTTTATTCACAGGCAGCAGAAAAGCTTAGAAATCTTTCTGAAGTTCATTACAAGGTAAATTGACAGAGAATAACTGTGCCTTTACTGATATCTTTATATCATGTTTTACATCAGTTGTACTTTTGGAATTGCTGTTGGATATTTACATTATAAGGTAATTGTTTATGAACTGGTTAGTGCACTTGTACTTCATCCCTTATTTTTGTCATAACAACTGATCAGACTTTTATTTATTCATTTTACAGAATAAATGATATGTCAAGAGAATCGTGAACAGATTTAAAATGATTTGACCAAGGACCTGGTTCTCAGTTGATACAATCTATTTTGGATTCATAATAGAACCAATCAGCATATTAGTCTTTTCTAATCATAATTTAACGAATAAAAGTGATACTAACAGTTTACAAGAAACTTCCGATGTAATGAAGTTTCCTGGAGACTGAAGAGTTTTGCATGATCCTTTACTGTAAACCTAACTTTAGGAGTAGGGTTTTTTTTTTTTTAATTTCAATCCACTTTTAGGATAATCAATTAGAATTGTTTTTGGATAGTCCATTTATTGAATTTTTCTTGTTTATGAAGGAAGTGCATGGACTTTAAATAAAAAATGGAAAAATGAATGTACATTTTGCAAGGTGCAAGACACAACCGAGTGGAAAACACTGACTGAAATGATATCATTGTTTATAACCCACCCATTAATTTTTGCACAATTTTAATGGCTACTTTACATCATCTAGTGCAAATCACAGGACAGTTATTAGGCCATAACCCCAGACTCTGTCTAAAAAGAAACAAAGCATCAAAGCTAGCAGAAAAAAGCCAGCTCGAGATTTTTGTCTTTTCATCTCTTTTATCATTTTGTAAACTGGACCTTCCCTTCATTCTTACTTTGTCCTTATCACTTATTATAGTGAAATCAACTCTAAAGCTTGTAAAAGCTGAAATCATAATTACTTTCCTGCACTGCACAACTTTCAGCTCAATAGTCTTTGTGCAGACTGATGAATTTTCATGTTCATTCAGGAAGGTATTCTCAAGGCAATGAGATCCAACCCATTCTCAAGTGCAAACAGGTGGGTTGCAGAACCTCAAGAAAGACAGAGAAAGTAGAAAGTCTTAAGCACTCTAAACAACAAATGTGTCTAGTTACAATGATAAGGTTGAGATTGAACATCAGCATTATCAGGCACCTCTGGCAGCCGCTTCAGTCCATGTAACGATTTCACCTACCTGCCCATCCCACCCCAGGGGAGGACATCCACCACACGGTAATCTCGTGTGCGGGAAATTAACGTCTCCTACCCCTGACTGTAGAGTAAACAAGGTTTGAGCACAAATCTTTTACAAATGATGCAAATAATTATTCTTTTGTTGAGCAAGAATGTCAGAAAGGTTTGGTTTTTGCCAACTAAAATTGCTGGTTCTGAACTGAACTTCAATCTCAAACTATGGTGTCAAGAAGACTTCATCATCATCAAAGAACCCTGTACAGTCTTACCCCAGAGTGACTGCCATTTAAGCTTTCTCTAAAGTATCACTTTGGAGTCAAACATTTAAGTAACGAGAATAATGGAAATGACCGCTAACTAAAGAAGTTCTCGATTCTTTAACAAAATTCTCTTTGTTAGCACCACAAGAACTGTGTGAAAAGCGAGGAGATTAGCTTGTGTGTAAAGGGTCAAACCCAGAATCCAAATTTGAAAAACAAGAAATCTCCCTGTGTTAATTAAAAGGTAATAAAATAGGGGTCAAGGCTCACAGGGTTGATCCCCCTACTTTCTTGTTACCAATGTGCATTAACTTCAGAAGAGGATTTTTTGTAAAGTATCTTTTCAAGGATAAGCAGAAAGGGTGGTAATGGTATTTTAGTGGTTTTTGCAGCTGCTGAATTAGCTTGTTGCTAGCAAGCATTGAAATAAGAAACTTTTCTATTAAGAGGATAGCAGTTAATTGGTTGTTGCTATCCAATTAGGAGCTGATAATTTTGAGAGGACCACTTCTATAGAACTACAACCCATTTTTTTTTTTCCAAAAAGGACAAGGTGCCCATTTTTTTTAAGAAGGACAAGGCTTTTTGTTTTCTTTTCTTCTTTTTTTTTTTCAAACAAGCAATAAAGTACAGAACAGCATTACAATTTATTCTAAGCTCATTTCCCCATGAAAGGTCTTGCACTTGGCCTCACTTTGAAAGGCGATGTTTCAAGACTGCTCTAAAGGGCAATTAAAAAACAACAGTTTAATTTGGACATATGTAGGATTCACCATAGTAATTTATTTATTGACATAGATAGACCACAAACATGAAGGTAAGTGCATGTCTTTTCAGACTGTGGTTCCAGTAGGGCAGTTTTAACTCATGACATGGGAAAGGTTCTCCATTTTCTTGATCACTGTAAGAATGGACAGTGGATTAGGAACATCACTACAATTATCTCAAACTTTTAAAACCATGGCTAACAGATAGCCCCATGCATCACACACCACTAGTGAAAGTTATCAAATAATATTACAAAAGAGGAAACTATGGCTTTCCTGAGCTTTTCAAGCCAGGCAAGTTCTTGAAGCACTTTTTTGCCATGGGAAAGGGTATTTTTATGTTACACAGTACAAAATATACATTGTGACAAAGGTCCCGCCCGTAGTCACAGGCATCACGTTTCTTCATTTCCTGAGTCTCCACTATATTCCATACAATCGTCATCATCATCATCATCCACATCATCTGCATAGTCATCGTCTTAGAAATCTGTCAAGTCTTCAGGTTCAGAATGTGATGGTCTGGATTTTATACAGTAGTCTTCAACAGTTGTTGGTACTGTTATGTTTTCTTTTTCGGCCTCAACTTTGGAACGTGCTACTTGTTTTCTAGGATGTGAAAAAATACATTACTTTTTAATTACAATTTTTTAAATGTTCCCAATTTTTTTTTTTATCATAAATTAGTAGAACCCAATACAACAACCCTAGACTACAGACAGTCCCTCCTTTTTGAAAAAGTTCATTAGGCAAGTCAACAAAAAATCAGTTAGAAAAAATTGACATTAGCACACAGTACAGAACTCTGGGACTGAGGAGCAAGAAAGCACAAACATCTTAATTTTCATAAAGATCTTCCCAACTAAAGACACTACCCTGCACTCCACTTTTCCATGTTATCATACAAAAAAACCGAAAGAATAAAAGTTCAACCAAGAATAAATTTGAAACATAAAACTTTCATGACATGAGATGTTTTCATGTTAGTTTCACCATAACTTCTGCAAAAAAACAATCATGATGTTTTCTCAGACAGACATTTTAATCTCTGTGTTCTTGAGGTCTACGCCATTCTTTTTCCTGAAAATTGTCTTTGACCTGTTATTTTTTTTTTTACGGCATGTATGTAACTTTCCGTGTCCTCCTTTTCAGGCGGTAACTGGTAAAATTTACCACCCATAGTACGTTTTATGACCACCTAAAACTGCTTAAAAATTTTTGAAAATTTAACAGTCAGGTGAACGTACTGCTGTTCCAGTTTGAAAATTTCTTTCACCTTTTGTGCTTAAAATAAGAAAGAACACTGAACTTTAAAAGAGAGAACCCTCTCCAAAGAACACCTTGCTTACTTGACAATTCTTTCGTACTCTCCATCCTTTCCTTTAGAGTCTCTCCATTTTCTGAACATAACTGAAGCATCCACATTGGCAGGGGAAAATGTGTTTGGCTCATTTAACAGTGAGATCACACTCAAGAGAATAGTTCTACAATTAAATATAAACAATGATTACACTTTGATGGGAGGTTTTCACAATTCTCTATTATGCACTTATTTTTCAGCACATGTACCTCACAGACAGTATATAAACAAGAGTCTCCGATTCCCAAACTATACCTAATAAGTACCATGACAGTTGGGCTACTGTCAGAGGCTGGGTACTATTTCTAGTTGGGGGGTGGGGGAACAAAAAACATATTAAGTACAGTATAGGGTTCTAAAGGAATGATTTTTTTCTTCTTGGGAAAAATAATGACATCGGACATGGCCAAAGCGATGATAACACCCACTCAAGTCATCAAATTAAATAATCATGATATTAGTATAACTGACTCTCTCAAATTGCTGCGTGTCACAATAGATTCCAAGCTGAATTTTTCAGAGCACATTAACATAATCTGTGACGGATAGGGACGAATAAATGGAGGTCCCGTCTCCTGCAGGGTTGGGGTAGGAGACGTTAATTTCCCACACACGAGATTACTGTGTGATGGATGTCCTCCCATGGGGTGGGATGGGTGGGAAGGTGAGATCGATAGACTGAAGCGGCTGCCAGAGCCGCCTGATATGCTGACGTCTGTTCTCAACCTTACACCGCACTCGTAATTCAGCCTCTGCAGCAAGTGGTCAGATATAAACTATATTCATATATTCATAAAAATGCCGGTCAGAAAATCGGCGTCCTTATGAGAATTAGAAATTTGATTCTGACAAATGCTAAACTTATGCTTTTTAAAACAGCAATATTGCCGCACCTTACGTATTGCCACCTTGTGTGGCACTTTTGCCGAGCCAGTGATTCTCGTAAAATTAAGCGGATGCAAGAAAGGGGCTTGCGTGCTGTCTTTAGGAACAATGCTAGCTACCCTGAACTTCTAGAAAGAGCAGAACTCCCTAGTTTGCAGAACAGGACATTACAAGACATTTGCATTTTAATGTATAAAGCCAAGAACAATCTATGTCCCTCCTATAACAGTGACATTTTTATTAAGCATAGATCTAACTATAACCTAAGGCAGTCTGATTTCTGCGCTGCCAGGTACAATACGTTAACATATGGCAGGCACTCCCTCTGCCATTTAGGGCCCAATCTCTGGGGAAAATTATCCCCAGACTTGAGAGAAGTTACCACCTTAAAATGTTTCAAAAACAAAATACATACATTAGATTTAGTTACACTAATGGATAATGGATGCACGTGCTGTCATCTTTATAATTCATAGATACATACTGTAAATATTGATATCATTTATACTTCGCTTATATTTAAATATTTTTACCTTAATTTATATTTATTGTTACAAGGATCGGAATTGTCTGGAAAGTTGGCGAAAGTCAATGTCAGGCAATATGTTGTTTCAAGAATTTTCTAGAACTGTGACTCATCAGTTTAAAAAGAGAGTTTATTGTAATAGTTATAAATATTTACTATTGTAATGGTTATAAATAGTTACTTTCGGAAACTTCTAGACTCTCTTCGAATGCTTATGTAAGGAGCTCGCTAGTCAGGTTGTTGTTATGATTTGGGACTTCATTCCCTGTTTGTGATCTTTAAGTGATATTGTGTGACAAGTGAAGGGATTTCCCTGTACCGTTGTGAGACTGACATTCTGCTGTCAAGTCCAGAGTTGTTTACCGTGGAGTGCGATACTGCAAAGGAAGTCTTCAGGAGATTTTGCCAAAGAGAAGGACAGTACTTTGCTTGTGGTCAGATAAGTGTAGAGAAGTACATAGTTAATTTTAGTTGGATTGTTCCAAGAGTAGTCGCTAGCTCGTGTTAAGTTATCTCCCATTGTTTACAGTTAAATAAATTGTGTTTCGTTGAAATACCAAGGCTATTATCTTTCTGCCAGTAATCAGTTA